GGCCTGGCATTATCTTGAATTAAAAGAAAATCTGAGCCCATACCATATGCTGCGGGCCAAACATGATCTTCGAGCACATTTTCAATGTAAGTTTGAGCACACAAGCGCCCGGGAACAACGACGAGATCTGTGCGCTCGTCCAAACTAACTCCGCCCAAAACCATCACAGAGCCACATCCAAATTTGTCATATTCCTGGACTGCTGCTGCACTGTATCGCTCGCCTGGGCGTCTGTAAACACGGAGACGACCATCGCAACGTGTTAGACGGAATCGTGATTCGTCAGTAAAAAGCACTGGCCTCCAATGTCGAAGTTGCCAATTAGCGTGATTTTGCGCGAACTGTCGGCGAGCTTGTCTATGTTGAATTGTTAGACGCACAGCCCGAACTGGTCGGCGTGAGCTCAAATTGGCTTCCAACAACCTATTTCTTACCGTCTGGTCGGAAATTTCTACACCAGTAGCCGCCCTTAGTGTATTTTGTAGATCTCTTGCATTTGTGGTGCGGTTACGTAAAGCACAGTTGACGATGTAGCGATCTTGCAAACGTGTAGTTTTTCTCTTTCGACCTTGACCACGCCTTCGTGAGTATTCTCCCGTCTCACGGTATCGCTTCCAAAGTCTGTAGATAACAGAAGGGGCTACTCCTAGATCATTTCCTACATAACGCATAGTTCGACCCTCTTCAAGCAAAGCGATAGGTCGGGAGACATGCAATTCAGTCAGATCTGGCATTATGACCTAAGCTCAATATAGCCAGAGATGGAATAAATAATACATTTAACTACAAAAAGGTTTCTAAAATTTACAAAAGGAAACAAACAAATAAAAATTATTCAATACATTCAACTAAGTAATACCTACTGCGGCTGTGTTGTGTGATGGTATAAAAGTGAGGGTAAGTATGTGAAGATGTGTATGTGGGGTATGCTCATGATGCAGGTGATTTTGCGCTATGGACATTCTTAATACTCCTTTTAACCATTTTCCGCGATAGCTTAAACAAGTCAAGGCTTAATTATTGATCTTATATTTCGGTTCACAGGTTAGGTAGCCTTCGGTGTCTTTTTTTCTATAGAACCAGGGGCAAAAGGGCAGGAGGCTGATATGATACCGCCCATGGCACCCTTAATGCCAGAGGGCTCGCGAATGCGTTACCGGCCTTTAAAAGTCTAAAGCTTACATTGTTTTGCCCAGCAATAGCATAGATCAATGGTATACAAGTGACTAGGTTTTACAATCACACGCTTAACCGGCCAACACTGCTCAAGTACCTACATTTTTATATAATGCATAGTAAATAATAATACTGTACAAAGTTAAGGCCAATTCGTCTCATATTACAAATTGCATATGACAAAATGGTACAACGTATGCAGCTCTACAAGGCTCAAGTACGACCTCATATGGAATACTGCTCACATCTCTGGGCTTCCAAATAGCAGATTCTTCCTTTTGACCTAATTCAGCGAAGGGCTTGTCGAATTGTCAATCTCCAACGTATTACTGATCAGCTTGACTCTCTCTCTCTACGAGACATTGCGTCTCTTTGCGTTTTCTACAAAGTGTACTATGGTGAGTGTTCTGAAGAATTGTTTGGGTTGATCCTGCCTCGTTTCAACACCGTACGAGCCGTATCAATTTGTTATTTCATCAACATCACCTTGATGGCTGGAGGTCTTCCACAGTCCAAAACACACGCAAAACACTTAAGTGAACTTCGAAATCGACTCCCGATGGGGGTCTTCCCTGAGAGATACGACCTTCAACTATTCAAATTTAGAGTGTACTCCTCTCAAAGGTCGGCAACGCACCCACTAAAAATCTATGGTGTCCGTCCGTTCATGGGCTGCGATGACTGCCCTTTTTGGGCGCCCCCCCTAATATTAAAAAAAGCCAATAATTGTATATTCATCGGAATGAATTGCAAATCGTCCTATAGAGAGGACATTCCATTATTTTTTTACCCCACAGGACGCCATTATCAATTGGATACCGGTTCGCGAGCGTAGAATCATTTAAATTTTATTTCTTGTTTTTTATAGATTATTATAGTTTATAGGATTTCAATTTTCAAACTTATGTTAGCTTTTAATATTTATTTAATTTAATTCTAAACATTTTTTATGAAAGATATTCTTAAGAATCTTGCTACAAGTGCGCACGTGCAATAGTTACTCATTTGACTCGTTCGGTTGTTTACGAATTGTTACAAATTGACTCGAACAACTGTCCGAAGTGAGATGGTCGGGTCGGTGTAGGGAATAGATTATAAAAAAAAGTTGTAGCACATGCGCATGGGCAATTACTTTGTTCAAGTTTGAAGCTATACAGTTCACGTAAAATCAGTGAAGTGAATTATAGTGAATGAAGTCATCATTGGAGTGTTTAATTTCCTACCCTAAGAATTAGATCAACTAACCCTTACAATTATATATTTGATTATTCGCAAATTTTCAGCGGTTTTAAAATACTGGCATGGAATAAGGTTTCATGACTTTGCTGGCGACGTGACTTAATATCAAACTCACTTCGTAGATCCAAAACCACACACAGTTCATATATTAACTGGAGTCCCTCCATTATGCCCTACTTGTGTCTTCTTATAGTGCTACCTAAGTGCGAAGGTTCATCATCATGGCTAATTTAATTTTGGATGCCGCATTTCTAAACAATGACTTGGTACTTTGACAACCCTATATGTGTAAAATCGTTTAATTTTTTTTACTCGGAAAATGCCATCTGCTAGAAACACACATCCCAAATTAAAAAGAATAGATCGTCTTTAAGAGATAACAGATATGCCTACTCCAAAATGTAAATATAAGTAATTTATATATATTAATTAATAGGCTTAATATTTATATATATTAATTAATAGATAATAGGCTCTAGCATTGCATTACAGCAATATTTAATAATGACCGATTGTTAAGAAAAAAAAATTTGCTGTAACCAGTCGAAGATAAAAAATCAAGCCAAGTTTTTCACGTGACATTTAATACATAATCAAAGTATGTATACAAATGGTAGGTATTGAACTTCACAGACAACCTGATGACGACAGGTGTCTGTCAAGCGGGAACCTTTGCCAAATTACACAAAACCCCCATTCGATTTGGATTCAGTCCAATCCAAAATCAAATAGACAAATACTTTTCTTTTAATATGCAGCTTTAACACTTCCGTGTTTATATCTTAAATCAGCCATTTCACATTATCACTAATAATAATAACTAAAAATTATATTCAGCATGCGCAACAATAACGGCAAACATTTCTCATCAAAACTATTATTTAAATATCAAACAATAATAATACATCTATAATTTAACATCAAGGTACAAACAAAAATATGACAGTTGACATAAGGTCGATTGAAAAGAATCCATAGTGATATAACCTATTAAATATTCCGTACTTACGATATATTTAGTTCTCACGATCGCATTATATTCTAATTAATTATTATTATTCTATGCTTATATAGCGTTTAAAAATATCATAAGTAACAATGTTAATTGTAGAAAAATCCCAAGCGTTAACGCACATGACATGCAAGTATGTGTCAGCCGTATGCGGTAATAAATTCATTGTGTAATGGGCAAGCCACATTTTAAATTGGGCCGTCCCTCCCAAGAGTGCCTCGCGCATCTACAAAACTATTCAGAAACGCATCTTAGAACGCGTTCAATTCCTACTAACGCCACCTGTTATTGCTTTTGTTAATATAATTTTAAATTTGTATAATCTGTCTCTAGAACTACAAACGTAATTAATACTGTTATCATCTAATATACAAAAATGAAACAAATCAGTCCTATCACCGTTTTGCGATCACGCTGTGATGATGAGACAGTGTTCTAGTTAGGTTTCTATAAACGACATAATTATTTGAAATCTACAAATAAATACTTTTTATCAAATCAAAACAATCTTAAATATGATTTTTTAAATTATTGAATGGGCATCCAACAATATTAAAAATCCATGATAAGCCAGCAAAGTTAATAACTAAGACAAGTATAACATATGCGCATTGAAATTTTTTTTTAAAAGATTTTATGATTTTGATATTTTTTATTAGTACGACCAAAGACAATTGAAGTAAATTAAACTAAAAGAAAATTGTCTTTGGTATGACATAGGCAGCTAAATCAAAATATTATAATCAATGGCATAACGCGTAGCGAGCGTATCACGGAAATGTTTAGCTATGCAAGTTAAGGTCATTACCATAGGTACCTATATATATGTATATATGTTTATTATTGAATCATATTCAAGGTGAGAATAGTTACAGCAAAATAAAAAAAATACAAGCTTTTTAATTATATTATATCTTAACGTTTCAGGTAAGATGATAGATATTTATTTTTGAAGTAAAATTAAATAATCCATAAAATAAAAATTTATCAAAAACAAGCTAACAATGAATAATGTGCTTACGACATTTCATGTATATTAACATAATATATTATAGGTAGTAAAAATCTTTATGTTGCAATGCAATTGTATTTTAATATTGGAATAGCGCCATCTACATGTCATTTCATAACTAGATGTAAAAATAATTTTTGTAAACGTACAGGTACTTTTATCCCAGATTTCAACAAAGATACCTCTGAAGTTGGAAAATTGTATAGACCTAGCGCAAACCAGCATCTTTGTACTGGTTTTAGTTACAAGACAAATTACAAACAGTTGATAAAAGACACTTGAACGTCAAAAGATTGTCAGTTGTCATATGTCGCAAGAAATGACAACCGAGTTTCTCTTCACCGATAGAAGCTTCAGCTTGTTGTTTTCTTATGACTTTTCATAACATTAATCATTTAACAGGATTATAAACAAGATAAAATTAAATCTCACAAGTCTAAATCTAAAAACAAAGAGATCGTATTCATCAATGTGATTGCCATAACATTAGCGTGGGTATCAAATAAAAGTAACCATCTATTTCGTGCATTAAAAAAGTTGAACAAAAAAGAAAGCCACGAAATGGGAATCTTTGGAACATCGTCACCGTTCGACGCAGACGTTGGTAAGTTGATTAACCTTTTAATTAGAGAACTTGTGACTTATTCTTGTTAATAACGATTAGTTAATAAGCCTCAGTTTCTAGTGTAGTACATACAATTTATAGTCTTAAGGAAAATTTGTATTGAATGTATTGTGCAGTCACTATAGAAGCATTTTTTTATAGTTAATATTCATTTGGCCTTTTGTATAGTGTAATACAATACTGTTCTTTCATATTCTTCTCCAAAGAATTTAGAAACAACATAATGAGTAGTAATATTGTTACTCATATAGATATGAAAAATTAACATGTTAAAACGTGAGTCATATTCTTATCAAGATGCAATATCTGTCAATTGTTACAATAAATAATTTACAGACATAAACAAAGACTAAACATTCGGAAAAAAAATTATCCAAGTTCTTATTAATTAAACAATGAATATCTCTTATGTATACATTACAAACAAGTCAATTAGGAGGAACAGCTATTAATTGATTTCTTTATTTTATGTGTATTCTTATAACTTATATTAGGATACATAGAACAACTAATGGAATACATGTTTAATACAGAGAATAAAGTAAATTATACTAATATATAAACACAGATAGCAGTTTGCTTAACTTATAAAACAGCACAAGACATATGAGGGATTGGTGTCTGCTGTATAGCATCATATTATTATTACAGTACTTTAGAGGCAGTATCAGAATAACTACCTGAATTTTGTCATCCTCTAATATATCAGTATTAGTATATGTGAAACATAAATTTACTTTATATCTACAGAGCGTGCAACAAGTGAAAATAACACAAGTGAAGAATGGGGACTTATATTGGAGATTTGCGATCGAGCTGGTGCAAGTGCCACAAATTCAAGAGATTGTCTCCGTGCTGTGATGCGACGTCTTGCTCATCCAGACCCTCATGTACAAGTCCATGCAGCTACTTTACTTGATGCTTGTGTATCAAATTGTGGAAAGATATTCCACTTAGAGGTACATACATTTTGATATTAAAAGAACACTCACAGCTTTTTAAAATTTAGCTATGAGCTAGACATTAGCATTATTATTTAGTAAACATACTAGGAACAAAAGAATTCAGAGGAGAGGACAACATTCTATACTTTGTGTTTAGTTTTACCAAGATGATTGTTCGTATTTAAAGTTAATATTTTATGTTGAAAATTATAGTAGCCTGAAACAAAATTGTATGTTTCTATTAGATTCTCTCTTGGTGTGTCAAGACAGATGACAAAGTTTTCTACAATAGGTTAAAGTTTTTAAGCATCCATCATATGATGCCTTCTAAAATCTTACAAATTTTATTGATATAATCTTTCTTGACATAAGGGTCCCAGAAAAACATATTTAAACAGTATACCTAGTTAGAACTAGATAAAGATGTTATTGTACAGTTCTTATTATAGATATTATAGTGTCAACTTACAGTGAAAAGCTTTAATAATAATAAATTGTCTGGTGGTGCTATTTATGTTTACCTCCACCAATCAATTGTTAATTGAACTCATAAATAATTTATCAAGCCATTATTGAACATGCGACCTTGGTTGAGAGATACACATGTAAGCTAGGCTTGCTTTGACACAGTTAAAACATTTCTAGTTTTGGATATTCAAGTTCGGTATTTGTAATTTCATTTTTAATTTCTAATAATAATAATAGTAATTAATCATTTAGTTGCAAGAAAGTGGTACATTTAGATCGAACAATTATAAAAATCCGCACAATCAGGCGTATAAAAATAGGTATGCAAATGTCATATTAATTTTCATTAAGTTTTATAATACGAACACACAATGTCATAATAATAAGTTATGCTATTTATAATTAACTGTTGTCAAACTTATGGTCCAAATACAGGCCCCCGCTCTAAAGGCACCTTGTCTTTAAAAATTTATAGATCAAAAATCCAAAGTTTTTGGAATATTCTTTTTGAAAATTTCTTTAATCATAGGTTGCATCACGTGAATTCGAAATGGAATACCGCCGTTTACTCTCCCGTGCCCAACCGGCTGTTGCCCAGAAATTAAGAGCATTGCTACGGAAATGGGCTGAGGGAGAGTTCAGGAACGACTCCCAACTTGATCTGATTCCATCTCTACATACTAAGCTGTGTGCAGAGATAGGAGAAAAGACTGTTACTGTACCTAGTACTGATACACAGGTATGATGACCCAACAGTGAATAAATATACTATAGTTACTATAAATTTACATGTTATATAGTAGATTCTTGTGTAGGTTATAAGACTAATCTTGTGGTATAACTCGAGTAATTAAGTTAACAAAAGCAGCTGGTTATTGGAAGGGTTTCCCTATATTAAAATTTATCAAACTATTGCCTGCCAAACCATAGCTTCTTTGTACTATCTTCTTCGTAATCTTATCATTACTGAAGGTTGTGCCTCTCTTATTAATTTATTTATTTACAACGGTATTCCTACAGCTACTTATTAAACAATATTCAAACAATTACACTGTACACAAAGGCCAAAAACGGAATACACATTTAAACATACACAAAGCACAGTTTCACCTATACAAATACAAAAAATATACAAAGAATATATGTCTCTTGAAAAGCCCTAAGCGATAAGTTGACTTGCTGCCTTCACACCACTCTGTCTTCAGTCATAGTGGATTAGGAATGCTAAGACTACATTGTACTATATATATTATATGTATATATAAACTTATTGTTATGCGTAAAAGTATTACTATGTACATATATTGGTGGTCCCTTTCTACGCAGTAAGTCAGTTTACGAGAAACTGGTCTAAGTTCTCTACTCATTTAACACTTCTTCTTTCTCTGTGTTCTAAACATCCCAGAAAAGAAAATGTGGTACTATGTATATTTTTTGGCACATTTTACGCTCAAAATTTTCTATTTTAAATTACATTTTATTAAAATTACATTACAAGTACCTAATATTGATTACCTTGACAATAAAATGATAAATGACTCGGAATTATCCACATTATATTCTGAGGGTAGACTCCAAATATGGGTTTATGGTTTAAGGTTTATGTTGTATCCTCCAGCAATCTGCCAAAGACGTAGCAGCTCAACGAGAGCAAGAAGAGTTAGCTCGAGCGATCGCTCTTTCACTAAGAGAGGCCAATCCCACAGCAGGACCCGCTAACACATCGACCTCGAAGACTCTTTATCCCCGCGTGGAGACGACAAGTGAGCCCCCACCTGCGAGAAAAGTCCGCGCTTTGTACGACTTTGAAGCCGCTGAAGATAATGAGCTGACCTTTGTAGCTGGAGAAATAGGTATGAGCTGTAAATCTAATATATAAAACCAGTTCAGAGATGTCGAAATTATAAATACTAAAATTGAAAAAAATTGTAAATGAAAAAAGAAGAATTTATAAATTTTCAAGTGACTGCTTTCTTTTTATTGTCAGAAGACTTGCAAGATAATAATATCTAATATATAAAATTCTCGAGTCACAATGTTCGTTCCCATACTCCTCAGAAACGGCTCGGCCGATTCTTATGAATTTTTTCATGCATATTTAGTACGTCTGAGAATCGGCTACTATCTATGTTTCAAAGCCTTAAGTGATAAGGGTGGTCCCCACCTTTTATTTTGAGACATTTTGTTTTGTTTTTATTTGTTAATGATACAGCATACAAAAATACATACAACCCTTAATTTTCACCTCTCTACGATCAACCCCAATTTTTTAATATAGTAGATAGTTATGTTTATTGAACTAAAATTTCTTTTCCTAGATATAATATACATGGCAAAACGACGTTTGCCGGATCAGCTAGTAATAAATTAATATTTTTTCATTTGGTCTAAGATCCCGCTATACAACGACCTTCACCGAGATGCTTATTTAATGAAACTTATTTTATATATAATTTAATATGTCAATAAATATAATCCATATGGGTTGCCTAGCAAATTTCAGTCCAGAGTATGTTTAATTAATTTAAAAAAAATATATTTTTTTAAACATTTCACCGGTATGATTATTAGATAAATTCTATACCAATCGAACGTATGAAGCCCATAGAATATGCAAACGTTAGGTTGTTTTTAATCAATTAATTATTTATGTGTATATTTTTTATGTGACACTAAAGTATATATACATCTTTAGTATAAAAGAAGGTTATAGTGATACATATATAATACTACCCTGATTAAAAATATTGATTGAAAAAAGTTAAAAAAATTTACTACATGCAAATTATAAAAAAAAATTTTTTTTTAATATTAATTAAACATACTCTGGACTGAAATTTGCTAGACAACCCATATGGATTATATTTATTGACATATTAAATTAAATATAAAATAAGTTTCATTAAATAAGCATCTCGGTGAAGGTCGTTGTATAGCGGGATCTTATAATAATTAGAATTAAGTTACCTTAACACACGGAAAATATTAAATTTTTTTGTTTACCTTAAGTAGATAGGTATTATATTTTTCATAGTTTTTATGCAGTTTTACTTTATTCATAAAGTTCAAATTTTGTTTTTCTGTAAATTTGTTCATAAAAAAACGAGTTGAGCTTGACGTATAGACCAGAGAAATGCAAGTTAATTAAGATTTCATTATATTATTCTGTAAAGTAAATAAATAAAAAAAGTTAAAACGTTGCGAAATTTTTTTATGACTTTTTAAATTCTTAAATACTCTTGAAAATGTTTGATTCAAACATCGTCACATGATAATGAACTGGTTTAATTAAGATTTCATTATATTATTCTGTAAAGTAAATAAATAAATAAAAAAAATGGTGCGTATACTTATGTACGCGCGTAAGAAGTTATACTTCTTTGGCTTTCTTTATTTTTTTAAAATATTAAATAATTTAAAATAAATATTTAGCGTTAATAATTTAACAATATTTAATATTTAGTATATTATTCAATTATTAATTATTATTATTTATTATTTTATTATATTATTAATTCAATTTAATAACTAGGTAGGTTACATAACCTTTTAACTAAGTAACAATAGGTCTTTGTGAAAAATCATTGCTAAATTTCTTTGAAAAAATAATTAAAACTCCTTTATTTGTTTAAAAGGTACTACAAATGTCATTATGGTCATTAAAAATTATTGGCATAGCTGCTAACTTCACGCATATTCTATTTCTTTTTACTTGTAGATTGTCTTATTCCCATCTCGCTCGCGCACGCTCGGCGCCCATACTGATAATTTTGTGTCACGGTGCGCGCGCATCGTAAAATTTCACTCTCATAAATTTTTCATAACGCGCCTAAAGAAGTATAACTTCTAAAGTTAAAAAATTGTTTATGATTTTTTTTATTATTAATAATTTTTGATTCAAATATCGTCACATAATTATGGACTGGTTTTCTTTAGATTTCATTAAATAAATCATAGTTTGACTGTGGTACCGATGGAAACGGTTTTCTGATTAATGTGTTTTTTTCAGTACATGTGACTGATTCCACCGACCCCAACTGGTGGAAAGGCTACAATGAGCGTGGCGAGGGATTGTTTCCAGCGAATTTTGTTACCTCCGATCTTAGTGAACCAGCTCCAGGTAAATGTTTTTATATTCTTGAACATAATCAGTCAGGGAGGAGGAGACTACAAAATGTGCCGACGGTTACTATTAACAACTGTGTTTTACAGCGAGTTAGTAAGTTTAAATACCTTGGGCACGTCCTACTCCCCGACCTCAAAGATAATGGCGATATAGAGAGAGAACGAAGAGCGTTGTCGGTGAGAGCAAATATGCTGGCTCGTAGGTTTGTACGTTGTTCTCATGACGTAAAAGTCACATTATTCAGAGCATATTGCACTAACTTCTACACGTGCAGCCTATGGGCCAGTTTTACTCGACAAACATACAACTCGCTTCGGGTGCAGTATAATAACGCATTTAGGGTGTTGCTGGGGCTGCCTCGCTTCTGCAGTGCATCAAGAATATTTGCAGAGGCGCGGGTGGATTGCTTTTTCGCCACTATGCGAAAGCGGTGCGCTTCTTTGGTGCGCCGGGTGCGGGGCAGCTCCAGCAACATCTTACGGATGATAGTCGAAAGAATGGAGTGCCCCTATTTACGACACTGCTCCGACATCTCCGCAGGGCTTTGTACCTAATACTTTTTTGTTATTTTTACTAATTCTACTAACATAGATCTTAAGAAACTATTGTTACTAACTCACTAATCAATCAATGGACTGTATTTGTCTGATTAATAAAAATTATTATTATTATTATTACTAACTATTCGATTAAGATAACGTATTTTGGTATTAATTTTAATTTTCGTGATTGTTTGATTCTTAATTTATCATAAGGTTCCATTCTTAATATATCTTCTATTAAGAAATTGATTATACCAAATCCAATCCTAACCGATACGAAAAAACCCTATATATATATTTCATTATAATTTATAAGTATATTTTTATCGTTGAATTATGTCTATGGTGTGGGAAACGAAAGAAAAGAATAGAAGGGAGGACGACATAAAAAAAGGTAGTGGGTCCAATGTGGATTGGACACCAAGCTTGGGATAATGGAGGAGGCTTTGGTTGAAAGACAAGCTGTAATAAATAAAAAATTGTTTGTATAAAGATAATAAGGACAAATAGGAACAAAATTCACATTGTTCGTTCCCATACTCCTCCGAAACGGCTCGACCGATTCTTAAGAAATTTTTTATACATATTCAGTCTAGTCTGAGAATCGGACATCTATTTTGCATCCCCCTAAATGTCAACCCACCCCTAAATTTTTATTTTTTTAGACAAATCTTTTTGTTCTTATTTTTTTTGATACAGCATACAACCCTTAATTGTCACCCCTCTTCGATCAACCCCTATTTTTTATTATAGTAGATATTTTTATTGGACTAAAAAAATGTTTTCTAGAAATAATATACATGGCAAAAAGACGTTTGCTGGGTCAGCTAGTATTATATATGTATTACTGCAAACAAACAAAAAAAAATATAATAAATAAAGATAAATAGGGGTAGACACCCCTTAACACTTAGCCCTTAGGGGATTGGGGTTTGAAAAATAGATAGTGGCCGATTCTCAGACTAACTGAATATACATAAAAAATTTCATTAGAATCGTTCGAGCCGTTTCGGAGGAGTATGGGAACGAACATTGTGACACGAGAAATGAGAATTTTATTTATTATTGTGTAGTCATTTAGTATATTTACTTTATATTTGGCAGGTAAAACTAAACAGTAAACAACCTTATTTGTTTATTAATTAATTTATATGGTATTCTATTTACATGCAAAGTTCTAATAATACGTTACCGCCTTTCAGAAAGTGAAACTCGTCCGCCAGCGACATCTAGCGGCAAAACCGTGCAATTCGCACCCGAGACACCTCTGCGCATAGACGAATCTTGTATGGACGATGCCCTCGCCTTACTCCACGAAGCAGATCCAACTGGTGAAACTCCAGATGACGCACGTCAGTCAGAGCTTGAAGCACGCGTATACGCTATGGGACCACTCGTTGATGCCGCACTGGAGAAGGCTGATAGGTATTTAAAAAAAATTGTGCTTTCAAGCTGGCGAGCATTTAAGTAGAACCTCGTTAAGTCGAACCTCGATAAGTCAAAAACCTCCAAATCTCGAAAAAAATTTTTGTTCCCTTCCCTTAAAACACCAAAACCTCCATTACTTGAAATCTTGACCCTCTGTTAATCGAAATAATCACCGAGTCCCTCCAAGCCATTTTGGTACATATTTTCACTCTATAACTCGAAAAATTAAATTTGACCTCTGTATCTCGAACATAGGAACGTTTTATTTTACAACCTTTACAACTTGATCATTTGGAATGTATTATCTCTATTGTTCGAACAAAAATAAGTTACCGACTTTAAGAACTTGCCGCCAATGTGAGTACACTATTGTTTCTTAGAAAACATTTTAGGAGTATACAATAATAAATTTATGACTCATGGAAACACGTGTTTGCTTGCTTTGTGTCAGGTGTTCAATTTTGATTCCCTTTGAAATTTAGCTAAGCCAGTCATTTGTTTTCAACTTAAATACTGTCAGAAGTAGTTTGGTTCTCTCTAACTCAAAATTTATAAGAATAAACCTCAAACTCTTTATGTCGAATCAAAATCCGCCTAAGTCGAAATCCTCCATAAGTTGAAAACTCTATAACTCGAATTTTTTGGCGTCTCCCTTGATGTTCGACTTATAGAGGTTCTACTATGATTTTCTCGTATTTTGTATTGATAGGAATTAAAGTTCGGACCAATACGACAAAATTTTCTTAATAAATTAAAACCTTGTGTTGCGTTGCGTTTTTAAGATATAACAGGGGTTTAATTAAATATGTAAAAAAAATCGATACTATACTCTGATTTTTAATTCTGTAGAATTTTTACTCTATACAAACATTTTGAAGTAAGTGAATGTATCCATTTTATTAAGTGCGGTGCTCAATATTAAAAGTAGTTTATCGGCGATTGATAATTACTTCCCTTGTTTAGAAACAGTAAAAAACGCACAAGTAAAGAAATCATTTTTATTAAAAGGTTTACTAAACCTGGAATTAGTAGGCAGTGACGCTAGCTAAAGAATAAAATAAAGTAATTAAAGTATTAATTAGGGGCCTCATAGCCTAGCGGTCTTATTTAGTGGCAGCTAGGTGAGGGGTACCGGGTTCGATTCCCGGTTCGAGGGCAAGTTTTAATTTAATTTAAATTTGTTCTCGGCCTTTGGGTGGGCTGTGCGGTACCGGGCGAGTGCTTAAACCGTACATGGAGGACACGGTCGAATTTCTAAAGACAAGCACGAATTATAAAAAATCCTATACTTGACGCTGGCTAATGCACAAATCGTGCCAGAGCCATTAAAAAAAAAGGATTCATTCGATATATTGTTCGTGATATTGAAATATTTGTTATTTTTGTATTAGGTCACCTGAGTAAGAAAGTATTAAGATTTACCTTTTTGTAGGTAAAACACAAAAAATACGTAGCATTTTTTTATTGCCCTCAAATGAGTCAAATTTGTCCCTTTTTCTGTGGAGAACTTTTTTAGTAGCAACATTTATGAAATGTCAGAATTCTACGGAATAAAAAATCAGAGTATAAATCATTTGCTCGTGTCTGCATCTGGGGTTTATGGTCAATACCATTTAGATAACGAAGAAAATCTATTAGGCAAACATCCAGGTCTCTGAATTATCACAGGAGGTAGATGTAAAAATAAAAAAAAAAGCGGGGTCCATTAAAAAATTGGTTCATGCCATTCAGTTATTGGGTCCATTCAATTTATTAGAAGCCCTTACGAAATACATTTCAGTTATTGTCTTTAACCATTACAGTTCGTGGAACTCCGCGAATCTGTGGAAAAGTATTATGGCTAATAGATGCAAAGTTTAAAATTCTAATAAATTTATATATTTTTTAATTTAATAAATTTTAACTTTGTTTTGTTTATATATAATTGTCTATGAAGTAGCCATTGAAACACTTAAGCAAATTAAACTAACATTTTCCAGGCGCCACGCCCGCCTGACCCAGCTTAGCGCAGACCTAGTAGACGCTTTGAATCTCTACCATGAGCTTATGCGCGAACCGAAGCCGATGTACCAGCAGTACATGCCGATGATGGGCGTGCCCCCTGGACCTTCTCACCCTCATATGGGCCCCCAGCCACAACCGCCTAGGTAATAATTTCACTTTTTTCTGAGCCATAAAATGACGACGAAATTTAATTGGTGCACAGCTGGGATCGAACCTACGACATCAGGGATGAGAGTCGCACGCTGAAGCCACTAGTGACATGATATTTATTGAAAAACAAACCTGAGATTTCTCATCAATAATATTTTTTTTTTCATTATTCACTTATGAATATAACAATATGGCAGTAAACGCGTTAGAAGTTGTACTTCTTTGGCGTAACAAGATTTAAATATTTAAAAATAATTTATTCTTGATAAAATGACACTAAAAATAGAAAAAACTAAAATGTTGACTTTAGCTAACTTCAGGATGTCGGCTCTTATCATTTTGTCCTGAGGGAGCGTTCAAGTATTACGTAACTAATTTTTTTGAGGGGTAATCCTTTTGTAAAACGTTACGATGCGGGGATTGAATTACGCGTTATTGTTAATATTATTTTGGACTTTCCGGTACTTTTCACCATATAGTAACTTTTAAGTATAAAGAGTCACTAGGTGGTCACGAAAAGTTTTACTATACTTGGGTACAGATAAACGTTACGGGGCGTTACATGGGGGTCAATAATCTCCAAAAATTGCGTGACGTAATACTTGAACGCTCCCTAACGCGCCAAAAGAAGTGTAACTTCAATGAGTGCTTATGCAACATGAAAATAGTTTTACCATTTTAAAATCTCAAATAAATGTGAGATATAGTGATTAATTATTTTTCATATTATTATTAATTATAATTTCTAATTTCAGATGCTGATTATTCCGCCAATTGTAAATAGCGTCCGAAACGTTAATATATACATTATTTTCTTCACATTCTATTTAGCTTAGTCGTATGTTAATTCTGATGAACATTTCGATTATAGACATATTTTTGTGTCTGAACTTACTGAGCTTTTAAATATATTTTTGAAAAAGAAAATCTCTTGAAAGGTAAACGGCAGCTCTGAAAGTGAAATTACGCTACGACTGAAATTGACGACGTCAAAGGCCGAATTTTCGAACCAATTAGACTAGGGTCCTGCAACACATGAGCGTCTTAAAAGGCCGGTAACGCACTCGCGAACCCTCGAACATTGAAAGTGTCCATAACTAACACTTAACATCGGGTGATTTAACCCGTTTCATACTTGTTAAAAAAAGTCAACAAGCAGTATGTTCAGGGGACCCCAATGATATGGGGTACGGGGCAACTTAATTTTAGTCAAATTCATTTCTATGTTCGTGTACATCAGACTTAGCACATAGGGAAAGGACAAATATAGTTTTAAATTTATTTGTTACAAATTATTCCGGATTAGGTAAAAGAAAAATATAATCACAAATGTACTGTTATTCCTATAATCTATAAAAATTTTTGTAGAGTCCATAAATTATAAAAAATATATAATTTAAAAAAACACATAGTTCTGTCTTGTTTTATCGCAATGGGTACGAAAGAGACAAACAAATATATTAATAAATTTTGTATGACATTGACTTCAGCGGTATTGTAGAGTTTATTAACTTTTTCATTAGTGCATGTACAATCAGATAACATAAATTATTGAGAAGGCAACGGACCTTATCTCTAACAAGCAAGCTCTTCCTCTAGTAAGGAAAAAGGAATACAAAGGGTAGCGCGTTTCATTCGTCATTGATGTAGAAATCGCTGCAACGTATTAATGACAAAACTATCCGTTCACAATAAGACTTAACGATGCAACGGGGCGTTACCTTTGATTCTGATTGGTCCAACACACATTGAGAGATTGTTCGTTGATATTCTCAATGGTTAATTCAGTGTTTCCCAAGTAGCCTTTTTAAGGTTCTTAACTAACTTACATAATTTTTAATATTAAAAATTGAATTGTTCACTTAACAAACTTAATATTAATTTTCAAAACAATGTAAAACGGAAATTCCAAATAATTTTTCTATTTTAATTTAGTGAGCTGCTTGCTGAACATAGCTTTTAGATTAGGTTCTAATTTAGTTAGATTCACTCTCAAGTCTTCACGTATATGCACCCGATTTCTATTGTCCCCCCTTGACAATCAAATTGCCCCCTTGAAAATCAAATTGACCCCTTAACAATCATGTGCCCCACGTTGGTAAACATTTGAGTTAAGGGACACACATACGCGTGAAATGTGTCTTAACAGGTTTTCACTAGCCAGAGAAAAGTAATTTCAAAGTTTTAATGACTGTAATTATCCTGTTGTATATATATTGTCTTTTAACGTGATTTTAAATATTATATAATTCGTGGTACTAGATATAAAGCTATTTTATGTTTGATTTATGCAACACATGTGAAAAGAGAAAGTAAATGACGATTTAATATTCGTCTCAGTCGAGATTATAAATTTATATAAGCACTGAAAATATATATTATTTTTAGGCCTTAAGGGGAAATTGTGAGTTATATTGAATTATTAATAAAGGTCTCGTTACGGTAAATGTGTTTTTATGTAGAGAACTAAACCTTTTGAGTTACTAAAACTAGTGTAGTGAATATAAGTGCAAGTGCGGTATCTCGGACACGCGAAGTGTCAAAACATTATAAAAACCCTAGGGGTCTGTTTCACAATGTACGGATAAGTTCCAAATTAGCTATTTATTACTTATTGGTAGGATAAACACTATTGTTGCGTTTCACGACTGTCAGATAGCGTTACATTTATTTAGATAGTTTATTATTCGTCACATAAAGTCCATCATAAGTTATGAGTCCGATGAAGTGTCAAATAGCACAATTTATCTTCCAAATAATTTGTGTTGCATAGCTATTTAGTATTTGGTACTTTACCTATACATTATGAAACAGACCCTCAGGCAGTTAACGAATATTACCTTAGTTGAAGCTATTCACTAGTTTAGTAGATATTTATGATAGAATCTGATGTAATTCATTTTAAGTTGCACTCTCTTGTGTGAAGTTACGTTACGATTACGATTAACGACGTTACGATTGAATTACGCGTTATTGTTAATATGACTTTTCCAGTACTTTACACCACATAATGGTAACTTTTAGGTATAAAGAGTCACTTTGATGGTCACGAAACGTACTATTGGGTACAGAAAAGCGTTACGGCGCTTTACATGGGGGGGGTTGCTAATAATCTCCAAAAAATGCGTGACGTAATACTTGAACGCTCCTTTATACGAATTTTATTTTTACACTTTGAATGGGAACATGTTAAAAATGTATTTTTTACGTAACCTTGATGGTAAAATTGTCACTAACACTGACATTTTGAAGGAAAGTTTAGATTGTCAAACTTTATATTTTAAAATCTCTACTCTGTAGTCTTTACCAAATAAATCGCTTCAATAAATGCGATTATGTCAAAAACTTGATGTCTGCTTCTTGTAAAGGTGGAATGAGAGGTGGTTCGGGCGACAGTAGTGTTATAGAAATAACTTTCGGATTGTTGGTCAGGTACTCTCGGAGTTCTGTCGCAGTTATTCGTCTGTATGGGTCCATGTGCCAGCATCTTTGTAGTAATTTACGCCTGGAAAAACATAATATGTATTATTGTACTTCTCTAAAGTGTTTTGACTTGCATTTATTTCGTCTTATAGTACACAAATCATGTCTGAGTCATTTTAAACAAATTACTTTCTCATTTGTAATATTAAAAAATTGGATTTTTAATATAGCAAATGGCTATACAACCACTTTAGGTTTCGGCCTCAGATTTCTGAATCTGTTTCATTATCATTTTTTTCACCCTTATAGGCAAGTAGGTCATCAGCCTCCTGTGCCTGACACACGCTGTCGACTTTTCGGGTCTAAGATGTGTCGGTTTCCTCAACATTCCTTCACCGCCCGAGCGAATGTTAAATGCGCACATAGAAAGTCCATTGGTGCACAGCCGGGGATCAAACCTACGACCTCAGGGACGAGAGTCGCACGCTAAAGGCACTAGGTAAACACTTCTGACTGTGTCGGAAACTATTCGTACTAAAACTACATGTTTTTTAACGATATTTCTCTGGTTTATTATTTTTATTAGAACTATATTAGTATCCATTGAACTTATTCATCTTAATAGTGCTAGATATTTTACTTACATTTGCATCGAAGCATCTGGTGGCAAGGGCGGACGTCCTCCATCAACGACATGGCTCAAGACACGCCACGTTGGCCAATCCCCATATGGCCTAGCCCCTATTGTGGCTATCTCTAGCAATAGCACTCCTGTAGCCCAAATATCTGATGCTAGTGAAAATACACCTTCCTTTAGGCTCTCTGGAGCCATCCATAGCACTGGAAACAATCCTTTACGACAGGTCATGTAGGTCGACTCTTCTTCGTCGAGCTCACGCGCCATTCCAAAGTCTGCCAGCTTCAGAGAGCGTTTTTTATCTATCAGGCAGTTAGCAGCGCGAATGTCTCTATGCACTAAACGGCGCTCTGTTAAGTATTCCAAAGCACAGGCTGCGTCGCGGGCCCACCGAGTCAAGCATTCATCAGACATTTCATAGTCCGCCTCTTTATCGTACACCAACTTCGTTGCTAAATGCCGCCGTTCTATTAAATATCGCTGCAGGTCTAAATAGATGGCATGCTCCATCAAAACCAAGGGCGGACCGCCGACTAGACAAACACCCATTAGCCTGATGACATTGTTGTGTTCTAAACGAGCAAGAACACAAGCTTCCCTAAGTATCTCGTTTTCTTCTGCCATCGATAGGAGGCCTTCATGAAGTTCTTTTGCTGCAACAACTAAGGTCCCACGACCAGGACGTGTTAGTTCAGCAAAGCGCACGCGCCCATAGGAACCAGAACCTATTTCATGTAAGAGTCTGATAGAACCCCGGTCGACCAGGAATCCAATGAGCGCGGACGCTTTTTCTTGACGGCTTTCAAGTAGTCTAGCCACTAACGCCTCGTTTTCAGCTAAAAGTCGTTTTTGTCTCATTCTTTGTGCTACATAAATTGCTATACATATAAGTAAAACACTTGTGATCATTATTAAAATGAAAGCATCGTGACATCGTGGTGTAAAATCATTACCACTGCGTACAATACAATTGTCACTATCTGATATTTTCGTGAAGCCAAGTATTGAATAACACGAATCAGTGTCATTTATTGCGGACCAAATTTTAACTACTGTAGTGTTGACCAATTTCCAAATAGCCACCGAATCTCGTTCATTTCCTCTCCATCTACCAACAAACACTAATGGCTCGTGGACTGAAAAGTTATTAAATTTAAGGGTTTGTGCAATTCCTGTTACATTTACTGCACCAATCGCTTCGTAATAGTCCCTGTAAAGGAATATAATATTGAAATAGAATGTCATGTTTCCATTATTACTTAAAAACATCAAAAGCTTTAGGAAAATAATTCGAATTTTAATGCTTACTGTGCAGTGCCGAAGCCGTGTAAATCAAAGCGCCTACTAATGTCATGTCTACGATACGCTGCAAATCCATGACCAAGTTGTAACAACGCGTCAGCCAAATATGAAATTTCAGGTACGCTTGTTATATTTCTTTGCATCAGTCCAGGAATTTCAGATAACTTTAGTCTTAAATCGTCGGAACCACCGAAAACCTTCCCACCTCTCCAAGAGAATTCTATCGTAAAATGCACTAAGCCTTCGATTTTTCTTCTGTTTTCCATGACGCACCAATCGCGTACAATCCAAACATAATTTGTCAAGGGTGAGAATACCTTCACTACTTTCGAAAGTATTGCATCGGCTAATACACAGTCAGTATTTACTATAATTATTCTAGCGTCATAAGATTTCAACTCCCTTAGCCCCCAAGATATAGTATCTTCACTTACAGTAACTTGGACATAATTAAGATTTCTCCCACTAACAATCGCTTCAGCAAAAGATTTAGAGTATTCGGTGTCGTCAGAAACGATAGCCACGCGAGACCATCCACACTGAGACAAGAAGTGTCTATACCCTCGTGCTAAGTCTGTCAATTTGCCTGATGTTCCGTATGTTGACTCCCCTAGAAGAGAATCTTTGGCTGGACCCGCCACCATTAAAGGAATTTGTGTATATTGAGCTGTATTAGAACCTCCCGCCAATCCTGGGTGCCAACCAAACACGATATAGCCCGCCAAATCCTTTTGTTTACTTGATACAGCAATTTGGAGCTCATGTTTGTTAGTACAATTTAAAGGCATCTCATTTATTCTGTAGTCCAATTCTTTTATATCCCTCCAAAGAAAATGTATGTTTACGACTACACACACCTTCCTATACAAATCTATATATGAATCATTCTTGCACGTGATTAAGTTTATTACGTATTCGGGAGGCAATTTCTTTTCTTTAACTTTAAACCATTGTTCAAATTCGATTTTATTATTTAATGCCCAGAAACAAGCCGCCTCCTCAATGTTGTGTGCATCTAACTCTTTTAAAAGCACGTCCTTGATGTGTTCGGGTTTTGGAGAGAATTCATTCATCAACTTATAAATAGGCGGTGCATAGTCTTTGACATCTTCTCCATCTCCAATTAGTATAGCTTTAGGAGCATTAACAATTAAACCAGATAGACACTTAGTATCTGCTCTAGGACATGGTGGAAATTCTAACTGTACGACATCAGGATCATTAATCCATATATTCTCATCTATGAAGAGATATGTTCTATTAGAATTGTATAGGGTAAACACTTCACGTCTGAAGCTTGTATCGGTGTCAAAAATGATTATTGCAACATTTAGTTCAGCATTACTAGCTCGTTTCTCAAATTCTTGTAGGATTTCGCTATCATAACTGCTTTCGTTTCTCGCCAGTACTACTATACATGGTGACTCATTGCACTGTTTTGAAAACTTCCTCTGTGATTCTTCTGAACTGAAAGGTAATGTTAAATTAATATAACTTGGAATTTAAGAAAAAAATCAGTGGCGCTACAACCTCTTCAGGTCTGGGCCTCAGATTTCTGAATCTGTTTCACGATCATTTTTCAATCTAATAAGCAAGTAGGTGATAGCCTCCTGTGCCTGACACACGTCGTCGGCTTTTTGGGTCTAAGGCAAGACAGTTTCCTCACGATATTTCCTTCACCGTTCAAACGAATGTTAATGCGCAAATAGAAACAAATGCCGTCATATGCCGTCGACTCACCGTGACTAAGCATGCTGGTTTCCTTACGATGTTTTCCGTCACCATACAAGCGAGTGACAGTGCACATAGATAGAAAAGCCTTGTGGCGCATAGCGATGGTTCGAACCTATGACCTCAGGGATGTACGCTCAAGACACTACTCTGCTATGTTAGGATAGCTGGGTGCGAACGAAAGAGTGATACCCAGATCCCCTTCTTACATGTCCTCTCCTAAACTTTAGATCGCCACTTAAAGGAAATGTATAGGTACATACTTGAAATATTTCGTGGTTAAAAAGCCACATGTTAATGCGCTGATGTTTTTGAGAAAGGTCCAAGATTCTATTATACAGCTACTCGTGGTTGAAAGTCGTGCCATGAAGTGTAAGTTAACGGGTAGGGCTGGTCTTGATAAAGACGTTATACGATCGATATTACTACCAATACCGCAATCCTCATGATTCAATATCGCAGCGGGGGCTAGCGCAAGTGATCTGAAATGTTATAAATCAAAGATTGAGGAAAGGACTATCTACAGGCGCTGATTAAAGATTTAAGTTGGCACCTGGTAGATAGTACCGGTGACCCCAGAGCTGGTGCTTTCCTTGCTCAACGAATAAGTATCGCAATACAGCGAGGAAATGCTGCCAGAGTTAAACGTAGACTGCCACAGGAAACAAATGTTGAAAGTTTGTTTTAATATTTTTTTTTTATAGAACGGGGGGCAAACGGGCAGGAGGCTCACCTGATGTTAAGTGATACCGCCACCCATGGACACTCTCAATGCCAGAGGCCTCGCGAGTGCGTTGCCGGCCGTTTTAAGAATTGGTACGCTCTTTTCTTGAAGGACCCTAAGTCGAATTGGTTCGGAAATACTTCAGTGGGCAGCTGGTTCCACACAGTGGTGGTGCGCGGCAAAAACTGCCTTGAAAAACGCTCAGTTGTGGAACGGCGGACGTCGAGGTGATACGGGTGGTATTTTGTATTTTGCCTTGACGCCGGATGATGAAACTCAGCTGCAGGTATTAGACCGAACAACTCCTTTGAACACTATCCATGGTAAATGCGGTAGAAGATGCAGAGTGACCCCACATCTCTACGCAACGCCTAATGATCAAGCCGCTCGGAGAGGGATTGGTCGTCGACGATTTGAACCAATTTTTAGTATTACTCTGTAAGTTAAGAAAATTGTAAATACTGTACACTTGATAGGTATGATAACTAATAAAAATTGTTAAAATACACAATGGAATTTAAATTGATTTACGCTTTTTTTAGTTTTTAATGGTGCTTCAGGTAGATATTTCTATATAATATTATTAGATATAATATTTGGTGGTTTAGTTTCCACGCGATGGAAAAAGAAAAAGAGGAAGACAGAGCAAGAGCAGACGATATAAAGATAGGAGGCACAACAAGAAGAGCTTATATCAGAAAAGAATCGAAACAGCTGGAAGAGGCCTGGGTGTCACAGGACACGCTGACTAACTAAAACGGTTCAAGTGACGTATTAGATTAAGTTTTATTTATGTATTAGAAGTAAGTGTTTTTTTTTTTAATTGTTATTATATTGTACTGGATGTCAGCAATAAAGGCTTAATAATAATAATATTTGGTAAGCTACAAAAAACGAAAATATTTCCAATTTCCAAACTGAACTTACTTAGTCATAAGCTCGCAAACGTTACGATGTACTGGATCCAAACGTGCTGTGTATAAAAGTATGTTTCGCAATACAGCGAGTAATAAGGCAGCTGAAGCGCGCGCAGCCCCGCCGCCTCCAGATACAATCACTTCATACTCTTGCTTGTCTATGCGCACATGTCTTTGCACTAAGAAAGGAATAAATATAAATAAATATAGTCTTTATTGACAATCTTGTAAGTTACATTTTATCTTATTTCTACTTAGTTATTAATGAAATTTAGTTAAAATAAATGTAAAAATTATTTCCTATTAGACACTGGTTTCTTGATCGTCTTGCTTTTCAGCCTAGCTTTTCATCATCTTCCCATCTACGATGTGGTCTACCTTTACTTCTCGTTTTATGCATAGGGCACCATTCCATTTTTTTATGTAATAGGAGGCAAACGGGCAGGAGGCTTACCTGATGTTAAGTGATACCGCCGCCCATGGACACTCACACTTGCGGCTCGCAAGTGCGTTGCCAGCCTTTCAAGAATTGGTATGCTCTTTGCTTGAAGGACCCTAAGTCGAATTGGTTCGGAAATACTTCAGTGGGCAGCTGGTTCCACATAGTGGTGGTGCGTGGCATAAACTGCCTTAGAAAACGCTCAGTTGTGGAACGACGGACGTCGAGGTGATACGGATGGTATTTTGTATTTTGCCTTGACGTCCGATAATGAAACTCAGAAAAAATCCAACGTCCATAACTTCTTTGGTCCATTTTTTTGAAAATGACTTCCAAATTACAAAGATCTTACATCAATCCATTGCCTCAAGAAGCTTGGAGAAGGCATAACATTCCAGAATGTTTATATGTAGGTAACATACTAAATTAATACTTAACTCTTACATTTTACACCGATAGTAAAGATATTTTTGATAAAAACTCTTTCAGCTAGTTTTGAAGACAGCGTTCAATGATCACAGTAATTAAATCAATGCTTCATAGATAATGATAGATATTTCAAATTTACCATTAGTCAAGCGTCATTAACACTACTTTAATACAAAAGCATACTGTTCTATGTCGAAGTACCATGTTTTCAATGTAATATATTCAGTTCTTATGGTAAAACTTGAATAAATAGTAAGACATACCTTTGTTTGACGAATTGTGATATACTTCATATAATCGCTGACAGTATTGTGAATTTACTTGAAAATTCACAATTAGCATAACATAATAAAATAAATATTTTTTCGACATGTTTACCGTGTTAACGTTATAATAACTCTGTTGTTCCCAGCTCTTATCATTTATATATTTCCTTAAAGTTATTAATGGATCAATCCAGAGCGATGTAATAATAATTAACATTAACTCTTTTGTAACGATTTTTTGAGGGTAATAATAATAATTATTTATTTGCAAGAATATGGTGCTACAATCTAAAGCTCGCATATTCTGCCACACATAATGGCGTGCAAATTTGTCTTAAAAGGAATTTTTACATATAAAATATATAAGGTATATTAATGATGTTAAAAACTTAGCCAACGCTCGCACTATATAATATATTAACGTAAGGACTACGCTTGCCAAAAGAGGATCCAGAATGATACTGGCTGGCCCTTACCCTTCTCGGAAGTGGATTTGCAAAGACCTCCAACATCACCGCTGGTCGCAAAACTTGGACTGCGGAGAGTCCAAAATAAAACTGCCAGCAGTGGTAGTAGTGACAAAGCGACCCTTAAGCCTCAACAGAATTAATCTCAAAGTAATAACGACAATTACGGGCCACTGTCTCATTAATAAACATCTATTTGTCCTAGGCGCGACAGACAGTCCCTTGTACAGAGGCTGTTTTATCGCAAAGGAATCAGTCACCCACGTAGTCCAGGAATTTAACCCCAACGAACAGAAATCCTCGGAGCAGTGAGGTTGCTTCGTGAAACCTGCGAAGTGCCCAGGAAACTTCTAAGCTACTGGAAGGAGCTAGGCTGGCTAGCCACGATTTTACGCACACTAGACCAAATACAAACGTTGCTTAAATACAACGTTAGTATTGTCATATAGTTAATTAAGCTTTGAAAATAACCCGAGACCATGTGTCAGGCAGAGGTCTTATAAAGAAAAATTATCTAGAAAATCGACACCACTGTTTATATTATCCTATATAAGGGCGTGATCAAATATAGCGGCGTGGAGCGCGGCCCGCCGCACTCTGTTTGTACAAGTGACGCGCGCTTCATTGTGTGCAGGTGCATTAGGGATGATCGATAGTAGAATAACATCGATATATCAGATTTTAATAAACCTGATTTGTGGATGACAGAACACTTAAATGTTTTCGTAAGTTGCATTGGTCGTGCCGTGGCTGTGAGTTAACATCGATGTTACGATGTTTTTCGTATAGTAACATCTAGTTCACATAGTTGTTGTCCTACGAATGCCGCATGTTGCTGCCGCGCACCTTGCACGCCCTATTGTGCTATCCCGAAATTTTTAAGAACGTAACCTAGAGGAAATACCTACTAATATAGAGACAAAGGTACTTAAGACAAAAATAAAGAGTTTATAATAAGGTTTTAGAAAAAGGTTTTGTTAAATAAAAAACATTGTAAATTCAAATTATTTATTTGTGATATTTTACATAACACAAAAACGAAAATCATACAAAACAGTCACCATACATATTAAACTATATATGTACAAGTTCAAAAACTTAAAACTACTTAACAACTATGACTAGATCTTGGAATGTATTACGTAGGTACAACAGTGATGCTCAATATATATTTCCTTCAAGAAAAGAGCGTACCAATTCTTAAAAGGCCGGCAACGCACTCGCGAGCCGTCTGGCATTGAGAGTGTCCATGGGCGGCGGTATCACTTAACATCAGGTGAGCCTCCTGCCCGTTTGCCCCCCGTTCTATAAAAAAAAACGGCTCTTACAGACGTACTCAGAGTCGTTCAATTATCTTTAATGGAAACTTAAACAACGGTGATTAACGAATAAGCTCGCTCGGGTAAGAGCTTTAGAGGACACTGAACAAGGTATAACGTAATATTAAGAAAGAATTATTTATGAATAACTGATTTAAGTGACGGTAATAATATTTCCAAAAGTATGTAACTTTATAAGACTCCCGGGTTTTTGGCATGTTAACAGTATGTAATTTAAATTATTAGAAGCAAGTCCCGGTTAAAGCTTCGCCCTTAGCAGTAAAAAATCGTTATACAAACTTGTAGCGAAATCGGAGAACTCGCCGTCCAAGATGCAACGCACTCGAAACGTGAAATTACGTGAAAATTTTAATAAATTGGCGTATGTTTCTTTCTTGGTTCTATTCGGGTTTATTTTTTGAGTAAACCAAAGAATGGAGGACACTGAGTATCTATTAATTCTGAATGCAAATCAACTCTCCTATTCGTCTTTCGATTTTGGAGATTGGATCATACGTAAACGGCTGCCTCTTTGGGACGAGTTTTCTTCTTTCTGATACGACATTTAGCTCTTAATAAAATTGGCTGAAATATAGCTTCAGGCTAAAAGTTATACTAGAGAGACTCCGCACGAACTAGGAGTCAAAACTCAAAATGTATGGGTGCGTCCACATCTGGCGAATGTGCAGCTCGCGAGCCGTTTGCGAGCTGCGCGCGTGCGAGCGGCGCACGAACAAAAATGCTCGCGAGCTGCACATTCGCGGCATATTCGCCAGATGTGGACGCACCCTTACGGGAGTAAATTTTTTTTACATAAGTCTCGACATCTTTTATTCAAACTTTTCTGTTAGTTTCTTAGTACTAATGAAGTTATCGAAAGTAAGTCTACTACAGTCATTATCAAGAAATAATGACAATTAACGATACCGTCTTAAATACTTGTCTTGTGCAGCGATGTTTGTCGGATATTAGAAATAACTTTGTAAAAAAACTTGGACCACTTCCAGATTATTAAATAACTAGTACTACTAATTCCTCTTTTCCAATTATCCAGTAAGTGTAAGTGTTTATATATTATAACCAGGCGGTCATTATTGTACTAAAAACTTAAATAATAAAAAAAATTTTTTATCCTAAATCATCTCGCGAAATTGTATTCCCGAAAAGTGTTGACTTGTGATAGGTATTATTTTTCATATACGTATTTTAATATAATACAAGCTATCATATATATATTAATATATATATATACATATATTATATATATTTAAATATTTGTAGATAAATATAGCTTATATATACCTAATGGTGAAATAATTCTTTGCAGTCCCAGTAGTTTAAAAACAATTATAAAAATATAAACCTTTTTATATGAATATAGATGAACTATAGAAAATGTACAGGATGGCCAAAAAGTCGTGGATCAAACGCAAATAGGGGATAGATGAGGTCATCAGCTGCAAAAAATTGTTCTACGGGAGGTATCTAAGCTCAACCCCTGCAGAGCTATAATTTATTTTGCGTTTTTATAAGAAAATTGACTTTTTTACTAATTAAAATAAAATTAATATTAATATTCGAAAAATTCTACATCCTGTATCTTTTTCATAATATCCACTATTTGCGTTTGATCCACGACTTTTTGACCACCCTGTATACACAAAAATATGTTGAACAAAATAATCTTGCATAACCCAACCAAAACGGTAGAATGATGACACTATTAATTAGTGCGATAATTACTACCAGGAGAAATCAACCGAAATTTATGTTTGGTTTTCCCTGATCTAAATATAATATTTGAAGATTAAATGTAAAATTAATTTCTAAATAAATACATCTTTTATAGAACAAAACCAAAAAAGTACACACGACAAACGAGTATTACCTAAACTCTAAAGCGTAATGAACCGAAGCACAGCTTCATCAGTGATACCAACTGTAACAAAATGTTTCCCCAAGGACCCCTTAAGTTTTTGTTATACACTCGGTTTTGTTATACAGTCAAAATCTGTTATAACGACATCGAAGGGACTCATATTTGTTCGTAAAAACCAATAGCACTAACAGCCGATGACGTTGTTATTAAGTACCTAAGGGAGCGTTCAAGTATTACGTCACGTAATTTTTGGAGATTATTGACCCCCCCCCATGTATCGCGTCGTAACGTTTTTCTGTACTGTTTTGTATAGTAAAATGTTTCGTGACCACTTAGTGACTCTTTATACCTAAAAGTTACCATTATGTGGTGTAAAGTACTGGAAAGTCGAAAATAATATTAACAATAACGCGTAATTCAATCCCCGCCCCGCATCGTTTTACGAAAAGACCCCCCCAAATTCGTTAGGTAGTACTTGAACGCTCCCTAATACAATAAAATTCAGCCTTGATTGTGGTCACTATAACCGGTGTGTTGTTCTAAACGATGTCGTCGAAAACTATTATTTTCAAATATGAATCAAAAATACATTTAAGTAGTATTAAAATAGCTATTATTTTGATTTTGGAGCTTTTTGTTATTTTCAGTTATAGCGTAGAGTTTAAATTTTGTTTAGTTTGTTGGTTGACTTCGAGGCTTAATATTAATTTTATAGAATCTTTTAGAATCGTGCGATTTTTTTCTTGAAAAAAGTACTGCTTAAAACCACCCTGGACATCTTGCTTTAGTCGCGTTTAGCCAAATGAAAAATCACTAAAATACCCATAGTATCAGATCCCGCTATACAACGACCTTCACCGAGATGCTTATTTAATGAAACTTATTTTATATTTAATTTAATATGTCAATAAATATAATCCATATGGGTTGCCTAGCAAATTCCAGTCCAGAGTATGTTTAATTAATATTAAAAAAAAAAATTTTTTTTTATAATTTGCATGTAGTACATTTTTTGAACTTTTTTCAATCAATATTTTTAATCAGGGTAGTATTATATATGTATCACTATAACCTTCTTTTATACTAAAGATGTATATATACTTTAGTGTCACATAAAAAATATACACATAAATAATTAATTGATTAAAAACAACCTAACGTTTGCATATTCTATGTGCTTCATACTTTCGATTGGTATAGAATTTATCTAATAATCATACCGGTGAAATGTTTAAAAAAATTTTTTTTTAATATTAATTAAAATACTCTGGACTGAAATTTGCTAGGCAACCCATATGGATTATATTTATTGACATATTAAATTATATATAAAATAAGTTTCATTAAATAAGCATCTCGGTGAAGGTCGTTGTATAGCGGGATCTTAGACCACCATGGCATAATTGAGGTGAAGAGCACCGTTGCATAGTAGACCTATATCATAGTTCTATTTTTACTTTAGAAACTAATATTGATGCAATGAAAAATGATGTTTTTAATATTGGACAATAAAACTCATTGTAGTATAGATTTTTCAAAACTAATATTTGTGCGAAGTGTCGAGCTGGGAGCTTCGGTGGTCGGGCTTTGGAAATAAACGTCACAAATTGATCTTTTATAGTTAATTTACAATATAGATAGCTGTGAATGTTGGCTAATTGCACTCTAAATTACGTACTATTTCGTCTCTTTCTGTCAAATTGTACTTCCGCTGTGACGAAAAGAGACCGATGCTACAGAGGAATTGGTTTAGTTTTAATGGAAAGAGAATTTTTCTTGTTAGTTTATTTATAAACATTTAAATATTATATATTTACATTACAAAAAAATTAAATGCGTATACGATTATGGCATCTAATAATATATAAAATAATTTATGAACTACGTAAAAATAATTGTACACAATTACGCTTATTGTACAAGTACTATCATATTTTTATTAAAAATACAAAATTCGTCTATTATAGAAGTAGCTGCCGCGTTTTAAATTAAACTTTATTTATGTAAATGCGAATTTATTACGTAAATCTAGTAAAAATATAGCAATTGCAAATATTAACTTCGCGTAGATGGAGCAAAAATGCAATATTCTCTATATCAAATCTGTCAGCGACAAATGACAGGTGCCATTTGACAGTTGACAAGCAATTCACATGTATTAAATGTTTTGTTAGACTAAAAATAAATAAGATTTCGTTGTTAAAAGAGATTCATAGTTTACTCCTTACACAGTTGTTCCCCATAAAATAAAATACAAATTTCTATCTTTTTATGTCATTGCCAATATTCCATAGTGCATTTATTTCAACGGTCGTATTGTTGGATACCAGAGGAGGCAAAAAATTAAAATAAATGATAAACATTGACGTGTAAGGATCTGGATAAACAATCGACAAGAAACAAAGGAAGACCGAAAGAGCGAGATTCGAGGTTGGAATAAAACTGAGGAGATTTTCTCGCGGACGGGGGTCGCATAAAATACCAAAATTGTATATTTGTAGGGGTGATTGCTATATTATTATATATTACCCCTATAACGCAATATCCGTCCCCATATAATGCGGTTGTTCTCCCCTATAACGCGGAGTTATACCTAAGTGAGAAATTTATAATGAGTTGTGAAGTCCATAATTAGTTTTGCGTACCTTTGCACCTGCTTCAACAGTGTTGTTATACAAAAAATAACTTTATTAAATTCATGTTCCTAGTTTAAATTGCTCAAAAAAATGGTTTTACGAGAATACTCGTACAACGCGCTATATGTGAGGTTTACTGTATTATATGTAAACTAGTTGATAAATAAAAGCTTATAATTTTCTAGGGTCTACCACAACCACGACTTTGTCTTAAGGTTAATTTATGTGAAGGATACTTGCTGTTTTAAGTATCTTCACAAACTAACAATGCGCGTGGAGAGACGGACACAACCACCACATGGCATGTCGGGAAGCTGATAAGGCTCTGCTGTTACCGCATCCCGCCTAAGGCGATTGCTGGTGGTGCTTTGGGTTTTTAGTGGGTATGCACAATCGCGAGTCCCACAAACCTCTCCCGAAATAAGCAGTCGCGCAGCGGTATGCGCATTTCCCCAAGTTAAAAAATAGGGAAACAAATGAATGCCAATTCTCTTATAAACTAATAAAATTTGAGCATAATCTAAACCTTATGTTTATAACTATACGTATGTGCATGCGTTTAGCTGCATAGGAACACTTAAGGTAAAAAGGCACTTTGTTCTACAAACGTCACTTTAAAACAGATTAAAAATATTTTGTAGTTAAGTTGAGGTTTTAGATTTCTTTATCTTAGTTATAGCTGTTCAATAAATTATTTATTGAATATAGGAGAACATACAATCAAAAATGTCCTTTTTGCAACTAAAAATGGTTTTAACTTAAATATTTTATAATTAAAATCTAGGTAGCTTGGTTTGTATGACTCCTGTCAAACAGGCTGTCACTAGTCGATGACAGTGACAGTGACTTTGAATTTTACTTAGGTTAATAAATTTAGTTAATTATTACGAATATTATTATGTTTTGTATTACAAATTATTTTTGACATTTCTACTGTATATATATTTAACGTAAATCTTTGGTTACTTAGCTATATTAAATTCAACTTATTGGAGCACTGGTACCTATGAGCACGGGTACTCTGCAACTTGAAACAACGATTCCGATTACAATGTACTTTTTGTAGTACGCAAGATTGGGTATGGATATCGAGACTTATGATTATCAAACTCTGAAATCATTTTAGAAAGTTACAGAATACCGACGCTGACAAATATAAATTCATATATATTATTAAAAAACATTGTCAAACAAAGAACTATTAAACGTTTTAAACGCTTTTTTAGCCTTGCGAAAGGCTTCCATACCCATGGCCTAGAATGAGTATTTACAAATTATATTTACCAATTAACTATGGTAAGAATCGGTCGTTTTCCCGCGGTGCGTCTGCGCTGAGGTAAGTGACGTCGGTGGTCGCGGATGGAGGGGCGGCCCATGATACCCATCGAGCCTATAAAAGGTATAAATGCTTAGTAATGTTCTTTAACCCAAACAAATTGTGTATTGCCCAGGCTTTTGAATCGTTTAAAAAAACTTATGCAAACCTGGCCAAGTTACGCCATAAATTATAAACGGATCGATATATCGGAAAGAAAGAAATAAAAAACGAATGTGATTAAAAATATAGCAACACTAAATAAAAGTTACTACTAATACTAATTTTCAGTATACAATAATACATTAAAAAAATAAATCAGTGGCGCTACAATCCCTTTAGGTCTTGGCCTCAGATTCTGTTTTATGATCATTTTTAAATCTAATAGGCAAGTAGGTGATCAGCCTCCAGTGCCTGACACACGCCGTCGACTTTTTGGGTCTAAGACATGTCGGTTTCCTTACGATTTTTTCCTTCACCGTTCGAGCAAATGTTAAATGCCCACATAGAAAGAAATTCCATTGGTGCACAGCCGGGGATCGAACCTACGACCTCAGGTATGAGAGTCGCACGATGAAGCCACTAGGCCAACACTGCTCAACATTAAAAATATTTTATAAACCTTAAAAATACATAAAAAAAAATAATCAACCAAAAACTCACTTCAGCCCTTTCCTTGGACAGTCTCCAAGAGTCAACGTCAAGAGACAAGGCATCCAAGGGTAAATCAAGACATGGGGACAGCAGTCGAGGGGTGTCAGCTATGAACGCGGCCACCTCCGACGCTGTGGGACGGGACTTGTACTCCGACTGCCAGCAGGACTTGATTAGACCTTCTCTGTAATAAAAAAACACTTACTTTTTTTTCAATATTAAAAAATAATAATATATCAGTGGCTTGTCAACCTTTTTAGGTCTGGGCCTCAAATTTCGGTATCTGTTTCATGATCATTTGTCAATATACTAGGCAAGAAAGTAATCTCTTGTGTCAGACAAGCTTGTTTCCTCACGATGTGTTCCTACACCGTTTGTGCGAATGTTAAATGCGCACATAGAAAAAAGTCCATTGGTGCACAGCCGGGGATCGAACCTACGACGGCTGAGAGTCGCACTAGGCCAACATTGCTTTTTAATATATTATATTAAAAATCAACACACAAATTTTGTGACGGTGGAATAAGGAACAAAAAGGAATCTACTAAGATTGACTAGAAAATTAATTTTTATAAGATAAATGAAATTTTGTTTTTATGGCTTTTAAAAATTCCAGAAAATACGTAACTATGCCCCACTAGTTTATGGGTAAATTCTTAAAATGATCAATCTCAAGACATCATAACGCCATATTCATAAAAATAATATTTTAACATCGCTTAAACAAAAGTCTGTCTCTTTTCATGACAGCGTAAACACAATCAACAGAAAGAGACGAAATTAGTTGAAACGGCATAAAGATTTTTTTGAGATTAGTTTCATACAAGTATTTTTTATAGTTAACAATTTGAAAATATATTTTATAGAAAAACTTACAATTGAGGCTTCAAACCCGTCGGCAGTGTAATTGTCTGTCCAGATTTTACTTTATTCAACACTTCACTATTACTAAGTCCTTGGTAGGGCAAGGAGCCAAAAGTTACTATTTCATAGAGGAGCACACCGAACGACCACACATCAGACGCAGGCAAAAATATCCCAAGAGCTAAACTCTCTGGTGCCATCCATCGCACTGGTAGCATTCCTTTCCTGCTAAATCTATAGTAATCATTCTCAAAAACCAGTCTCGTCATCCCAAAATCGGCTAACTTCACGACTCTTCTTGCGCTGACTAAGCAATTTCGTGCTGCGACATCTCTGTGCACGTATTTCATTTGCGCTAAATACGAAAGCGCCCTCGCAATATCCAAAGCCATGCCCGTCAGTCTTCTAGCAGACACTTGCTCTTCTGGGTCGTCTCCAGAATCGGAGTTAGTTAGATGCCTTCGAGCTAGAAGGTAGTTCTTCAAATCTCCATAGAGCATGAACTCCATAACCGTGCAGACTGGTTCAGTCTTCGTGATAACGGCCAACAGTCTCACGACATTCTTGTGGTCGAAGCGTTTCATTACTTCCGCTTCGGATAGAAAATCTAGTTTTTCCTCGTTACTGGCTCCTGCTTTTAAGGTTTTGACTGCTACTGCTGTCCAGCCTCGATCTTCGGCCAATAGGGCGTGCCCGCCATACACGGTTCCAAAGGCCCCCATGCCCAATTTTCTGTTTATAACAACTCTTTCACGAGGGATTTCCCATGGATCCAAGCCTACAGCCTTGACAAGTGGAAGTCTTCTTAAGGTTAATGCTTCGAGTTTTGCCCGATATTTCTTCTCTGCCCGTCGCTTGCAGTAGACCATAAGTCCGGATAAAATCACAATTGTAACTCCCAGCAAAGTTGATACTAGAAGAATGGTTGATGTACGGCATTGTATGTTGAATAAGTCGGCTAAAGGCTGTAGGGCGCATCGATCGTGGCCATCGTCAGGCCTGCGACCATCAGCTGAGTACCACTTTAAGGCATTTTCTTCTAACTCCAGTTTATCATCAAACCATCTTCCAATCTCACGTCGACGCTGACCGTCCCATTGGTAGATGATAAGAGGAGAAGATCGGGCAAATATAGCGCCATCTTTACTCAGTTTAATCCATTCGAATTTCCCCGTCAGTCCTTCATATTTGATGAGCGTTGCGTTGGTCACCAACGATCTGAAAATGGATTTTGTTTTTAAACAAGTTTCTAATTCATTGAAAATCCAAATTAATTGCTTTATTATGATAATTATTACACGTGCGTAATACTATACGCATGGAAGTCATAAAACCAGTTCAGAGATGTCGAAATTATAAATACTAAAATTGTAAATGAAAAAAGAAGAATTTATAAATTTTCAAGTGACTGCTTTCTTTTTATTGTCAGAAGTCTTGCAAGAGAATAATATCTAATATATAAAATTCTCCAGTCACAATGTCCGTTCCCATACTCCTCCGAAACGGCTCGACCAAGTCTTATGAATATTTTAATGCATATTCAGTAAGTCTGAGAATCGGCTACTATCTATCTTTCAAACCCCTAAATGATAAGGGTAGACCACTCCTAATTTTTTTTTTTTTTTTTTAATATTTTCGTTTTTATTTTTTTATGATATAGCTTACAACCCTTCATTTTCACCGCTCTACGATCAACCCCTATTTTTTATTTGTAAATTAAAATCTTATGACTTAAACTCTGAGGTCTATATAGCAAAAATTCGCAGAAAAACCTAAAAATTTTCATTCCAGAAAACCGAACAGTCTCTGGGTAGCATAACAAAATGTTCCATGTTGGTATGTACTAAAAAGGTAGGCTAAGTAAAATCACATTAAGGAGAAACAAAGTTCGCAGGGGCATCTAGTATATAATATAATATGAGAGAGTTATATTACTGTAGTGATATTAAAAAATCATTCCTAAACGCAGACGTTATAAACTATTGATTGCCTCTAATTCAAAGACTCATTTTTATTTCCGTACATTTATAAAGAAATATATATGTCTATTTTAAGCCTCAAAAGTCAGGAGTTATTACCAACAATCGAGTGACAAAATAAAAGTATTCTCACACACCTTAAAAGATCAGGATCATGAAGATCGTCAAGGGAAGCTGGTCGTGCAATAATCAGCTTTTTGAGTGCGCTGGCCCAAAGCTTTAGCACGTCATAGAGCAAAGCTGCATACGGACCTGGCTTATCGCAAGGTTTGTTTAGCATGTGACAGTCCTCTCTCCAACGGTACTCCCATGACTCCATTTCTTCCGACTTGGTAGTATTTGTATTCTGATGACAAAAAACAGATTTTGAATTCTGGTGAAAAGGCCACAAAAGGACTTAGGCAGCTGTCTTGCGAGTGTATTTATCATGCTATAAGGATCTTATGAACTTTACTCGCTGGACTAGTGTATTTGCATCCCTTAGGTCGTTCGATTCCTGGCTGTGCACGAATGGACTTTTCTATATGCGCATTAATCACTTCCTCGTGAAGGGATACATCGTAAGAAAACCGGAATGTCTTAGATACAAAAAATCGACGGCGTGTGTCAGGCACCGAAGGCTGACACACGTCTAATAACAGAAAACCAAGGATTTTGGCGTCACTGCCGGCGTCGCACTTCTATTCATATTTGACCGTTCATAATTAAGAGCGGTTAATTTTATTATTGCATAACCTATATTAAATTTATCATAATTTTTCATAGTTTTTTTAATGAAAGTATTGCTTTATGTGGATAGACCTACGTATACGTCATAGCTATATAAATATATCAAGGGAAATATAGCACCAAATGGAAGATTTAAAATAGAAAATCACATTACAACGATTTCAAAAAAAAAATTAGGAGTTGTTATTTTGTCGAATGTCAAATGACATTCATAAAATTTGAATATAATTCCAATAAGAAATCAATTTATAACTAATTTGCAGCTAATGTAAATCTAATTCCTGTTTTTTGATTGGCGACACACTTCGCGGTCAGCTACTTACATATTCATTCTGTATTTTTTGCAGTTTCAAAAATGTAAATTCAAACTTAATGTAGCTCAAGCTTTCGAATGTTAACTGTGCATTCATTTTTGTTTTTTTTGCATCTTTTTTCTTATTAGAACAGTGGGTACACTGGCAGGAGACTTATTTGATGTTAAGTGATCCCACTGCCCATCGACTCTCAATGCCCGAGGGCTCGCGAGTGCGTTGTAGGCGTATTAATTACAGTTAGAAATGAAAACGGTCCTATTTAAATTTAAACCTAACGTCATATATTATTTCCGCAAAGTATTTCGATTTAAAGAAAACGACCTGACGTGACATTTTTTTTAACATTTTGAAACAAATATATCCTTTTTTTAATTACTTAACAGGAGGCAAACGGACAGGAGCCCATGAACACTCACATTTCCAGAAGGCTCGCAAGTGCGTTGCCGGCCTTTTAAGAATTGGTACGCTCTTTTCTTGAAGGACCCTAAGTCGAATTGGTTCGGAAATAGTGGGTAGCTGGTTCCACATAGTGCTGGTGCGCGGTGCTACTGCCTTAAAAAACGCTCAGTTGTGGAACGACTGACGTCGAGGTGATACGAATGAAATTTCGTATTCTGCCTCGACTAAAGCTGCAGGCAGGTATTATACCGAACAATACATTCAAAGCTTAACCAAAATCCTAGGCGTTAGTTTTTTTAGCGCTAACATGCGACGAAAGCGCTGAATTGTTTTCCATAGGAAAAATATTTAAAAAGTTTGGTGCCTGATATTATTAATCTGCATTTAGTAAATAGTATTTATTTATTTACACTTCGTTAGCTTATACAAAACATACATATAAAAAAAGCAGGTTACATAAGTTATTAGGCAACGGGCGACCTTATTGTTAACAAGCGATTTCTTCCAGGTAATATGGAACAATAAAAAAAGTAACACGTACAGAGGGAACACCTACAAAAACTCAAATTCAGAATAAAATAAAGTAAAATCTAAAGAAAAAAAATTTATAAACAAAAATTTAAAAGCTCATTCAAGGTTTAATTGAGTCGAAATTAATATACGTATATAAGTAGCTAATTAAGAGGCAGAAGAAAAATGATCAAAAATAAGATTTTTAAATAAACTTAAAGACTGAACGTCTGATATCAATCGGTAAGGAATTACATAGCAGGATACTTTGCACAGTAAAGGAGGAGGGATAGAATTCGGTTTTATAGTAGTTAAAATTTTAATTTTTGAAGTGAAAACTTCTTTAGCGGCGTTGTACACTTTTTTTGGAATGGGTAAAAAATGTTAAACTCGCGTCAGGACACGTGATCTGGTCGAAAATTCGTAAGACGGATGGAGAGTAGACAGCTGGCGCGGCGTATTTAATGTAATATAAATTGTCGTGATTGTGTACGATAGCGCAATAAATAAATATTGTATTCTACCACATAAATGATAGTACTTTTATACTTTAAAGCTAATTGATTTCAAAGTGTGAGGGGAACACTTATCTAGCTATCGGTAATTGTTATGTTTACAAAAACTGCTACTATTTTTTTGTATTATGTACGTACGTACGTACGTAATTGGAAAGATAAATTATACTACACAAGGGCAAATGTTTTTATAACTTTTCGACAAAATAAATTAAAATTTTTGCGAAAATTAAATAGGTTTTTATCACAATTACGTCGTTCTCAACTTCACCGACTAAAGAATCGAGAACTTCGATGTCAAGTGTTGTGTTCACACAATTTTTATAGGTTATATTCTGAAGTATAAAATCCTTGATTTTTGATATTGTATTATAGTATTATTATTTTACAAAATTATTTTACCATTTGTTATTACTATTTGTTGTTATAACAGGTTTTTCCTAATTTTGTGGTGCAATTAATGAATTAAAATTTCCAACTAACAAAAAGCTTGCCTTTCTCTGTCAATGTTACAGCCAGTTTGGAGCCAACTAGGCATCGCGAGAGACGATGGCAAGCCGCTGGTTGAGTATGGGATGCTACTTATGTGGACATATTAGCCCTGGCGCGGCCGAAGAGCAGTCTTTCCTCAAACTTTGATTTTGTTCCCATTGCAGTAGACTCTTGGGCCGTGGGGTTCAAGTGCACTGGCGCTAATTAAATATTTAAGTTGGCGCCTGGTATATCCACCAGTGACTCCAGCTGGTGCTTTCCTAGCTCAACGAATTAGTATCGCAATACAGCGAGAAAATGCTGCCAGCGTTAAAGGTACACTGCCACAGGGACCAAACTTTTAAATTTTGTTTTAATTTTCAATTGAAGTGAAACTTCTTTATCGACGTATGGGAGAAATTTTGTAGCAATGTAAAAAATCGTCACGTTTTTCGGTTACGCGCCATGTTGCTTTTTGAAGTCAAACTTCTTAATCGGCGTTGGAAAAAAATTTACCGTCACATTTTTCGGTTACGCGCCATCTTTTTCTTGTCCCTACCACGGTTGATCCGAAGAGATTCGAAGCCATTAATAACAAAAATATATAATAACGATAACAATGATAGTAATAATTCTATTACAATTAATGAAATTCTGTAATAATCTTAGTAGTAATAAGGTAAAATTAAATAATTGTATTTGTATTCATAGACATGATAATAAAAGCCTTTTGTTAAACTTTATCTAATTTAACTTTATTTAACCATTTTCTGTAAAGTTGCACTACTATATGCAATTTTTCGAAAAATAAGGTCATAAAGAAGTTTCACTTCTTACGTGTGTACACCTAGTACATTTTTATTTTTAATATAATATTATTATTACTATGTAGGCTATGAATTTTGTATAGGTATTTGTGTATTAAATTGAACTTACATCATCCAGCCATGGTAGCATCCACTCCTGGGCCACAGAAATATGCCCAAGAAGCATTTCGTCAATTTCTTCAGCTGTACATGTATCGCCTTTAGGCGTTTGCCAATTGGGTGGAAGACCAGAAGGCAGGATCCAGACAGCACCGCTGCTGGGGGTTAGACCTGATTTGTGACCCGCACATAATGCGTGGCGTACTGCCCGGGCATCTTCTACTGATATATAGATGATTCGCCCATTTGCCCGAGCTGCGCGATCTGCCCACTGTAATATACAAGTAAAAATTCAAATTTTGGCAAATTAGGTTTATTAAAACCCGTGTAAAAGACAAGATTATAATCAAACTTTGCGATACATTTAGTTACTTTAGACACAAAAACTCTTTGATTCTAACATTGAAGCTAAAATAGGAATCGTAATTTTTACGTCAATTTTTAAAAAATTGACTAGCTGACCCGGCAAACGTTTGTTTTGCCATGTATATTATTTCTAGGTTTTTTTTTTAATTTAATGAAAATAACTATCTACTACAATAAAAAATAGAAGTTGTATGTATTTTTGTATGCTGTATCATAAAAAAATTAAAAAATTAAAAAACAAAAATTTTTTTTAGGGTGGACACCCTTTATCACTTAGGGGTTTGAAAGATAGATAGTAGCCGATTCTCAGACTTACTGAATATGCATAAAAAATTCATAAGAATCAGTCGAGCCGATTCGGAGGAGTATGTGAAGGAACATTGTGACACGAGAATTTTATATGCGTATTAGATTTTGAAAGCCGTTTCATTATAGGAACCCGTGTGTAGTTAATACATTAAGGTCCACATAAAAACTTCATTATTTTTTACAATTCATACCAAAACTCCACTAAGAAGCTTACCAATGTAAAAATAGAAGGATCGTACTCCGGTCTTTCATCTGGTAATTCCAGGTTAACTATAAAGTCAACTCCAAAACTGGCTGTTGCTAGGGCTGAATGTGTTGCTGTTTCGCTTAGAGATACCATCCGTCTCCATCCTAAACTAGTTGAAAAGGCTGCTACAGCAGATCCTATACTTCTAGCGTCTCCAGCTGCTAATAACGCCAATGGGGCCGCTGGCGGCGACGGAGGAGATTGAGGGGTATAGGCGAGCGCTGGGAGACGATGGGAAGGGCCCTGACGGACCACGTCTGCAAATGGTACCCCACATGCAGGTCCAACAGCAGCAGTCAACGCATCATAGTCACCAGTTCCTAAAGCGTCTATTAGGTATTTATAAGCTTGTACTGCATTGCAACGGTCGTCATATGTTTGGACCTGAAAATAATGAGGCAGGCTAAAACACCTAAAGAACTGTTCACTGCATCTTCTACCGCATTTACCACGGAGAGAGGAGTTGTTCGGTTTAATACCTGAAGCTAAGGTTCATCATCGGATGTCGAGGCAGAATACAAAATTCCACCCGTATCACCTCGACGCCCGTCGTTCCACAACGGAGCGTTTTTTAACGCAGTTTCTGCCGCGCACCACCACTATGTAGACCACTGAAGTTTTTCCGAACCAATTCAACTTACGGTTCTTCACGAAAAGAGCGTACCAATACTTAAAAGGACGGCAACGCACTCGCAAGCCCTCTGGCATTGAGTGTATATGGCCGCGGTATCACTTAACATCAGGTGAGCCTCATGCCCGATTGTTCTATAGAAAAAATGTATATCGTCATATCAGATACCAACCTTAAAAGTTGCAATTCCAGGAAGAAGTCCTTCAAGATCTCTAGCAGCTAGTACTGCTGCAGCCATTAACGCAGAAGAGTTGTAAACTTCACGTTTTGTGTCTTCAGGTAAAAATGTGACTACACGTAATTGACGTACATTGTCGCGTACTGGATGATCAGACAAAAAGGCAAGAGCACCAGCCTCGACACCGTGATCTCTCTTCTTCGTCGCCAACTCTTGCAAACCAGAAAAGTTGATTTTTAATCTGCGTAAAGCTCGAACAGCCGAGGGAGACCTCGCTAAAGCTCTCGTGTTAATCCATTTCACAACACGGCGGCTTTCAAAGTGACATTTCTCTACGTCCATTCTACATGGTGGAGGACCGAGAGGGTAGAACGGCTCTTGGAAATGTTGATTCCAGTCACAAACAAGCGTTCGATTGTTGATACTATTGGTGATTTGGTGTAAATTTGTTCCTACTGGAACGACGATAGCGCGAAGATAGTTTTCCCTTACTACCTCATATAAAAGACGAGCCTCTCCCACATCACTTGTGAAGATAGTTGCACATGATGTATTTGAGTTACACCATTCTGGCTCATACATTTTAGGAAACTTTGATTGGCTGTAAAATATTTCAGATAATTAAAGATTTATCAATTTCAATTTACACACATTATTTGAGATGAGACAAAGAGAGCCGGAAAGACTTGGAGCAGGTGAAATGCTGAAGACCTATCGCGATGGAGGCTCACTGTGGACGCCTTCTTCTCTTTCTTTCTCTTCTGATCTTTAATGTCGTATTGTATATAATTATAAGGTGTAAAAGAAAATTTTAGTAATTTTTTGATTGGCATAACGTATTAAAATTCACACTTACTTTTTCAATGTTATATTACTTTGCATGTCTGCCTGTAGTTCTACCGCTGTATCTCGTGGTATGTAATACTTTCGAGCGATTAAGGCGTCTTCTAAATCCAGTATTGATCTAGCTGGTGGTGGGGCCACGCACACCCGTCTAGTTGGGGACATAATAACATCGCCAAGATCATCCAAGCCATTATTTCTGAGCAACCACGATGAGAGCGTACTGCCCGCCGGCACTGATAAGAGCGCTACGTGTAATTTTCCCTGACCTAGGTCTGAGAAGATTGCTTTTTGGCAGGCGACTGAGTCCGCCCTTGATGGAGACACACATAGTTCCGGTGGTGGAACTGCGTGTGCTCTTATTCCTCCTATGCGTAATGTTAGTGCAGCTAACTCTGCTAACGCTGGTGACGCATCGGCACCATCTCCCGCCACACATGCTGTCACTGCTATGGATTCTTTGTGAGTTACGTTGGTTTCTGCAATAGATATTTTATTTAGAGTTAATTTTAAATTTCTAGATTATTTACTAAGATTTTTAATAACTCTACAAATAGTAAAACAGAAATATGATTTATATAATAAACATAGCAAAGTTAAGTAAGTTTTAAACAGTTTTAGGAAGAGTTGGGGTGATAACTTGATAAATAGAAAAACACTTTTTTAACGGATTTGAAGTTATGTTGTATTATAAATTTACAATTATTTTACATAATTTTAAATTTAACCGACGTTTCGCGAGCTTTACAGCGTGCGTGGTCACGGTGACTGAAGACAAAAGGTGTTGAATGTCAAAAAGTATCACAGCTGTAGAAATAGTTGTTTTATCTGTATTTATTTCCCCGGAGTTAGTATCGACTAAAAGATGAAGGGTTTTGGCAGAAATGGCTCACGGTGTCCTTTATTTTCGTGGATTGTTTATCTTGAGATTTTAATTTGGATATTATTAGATCCCAGGTGTTTGACAATTTTAGGCCGTCTTCTCTATTGAAATTGGGGTGTTTTTTGATTTCAATGGCTTCGCGTACCAATCTTGGGAAGAATCTTTTTTCTTTTGCAAGTACTTTCGGTTGATCAAAGCGTATGTAGTCCTTCAAATCCGTTAAAAAAAGTGTTTTTCTATGTCTAAAAGTTATGTCAATAAAAGACAATACTAACTTAATAAATATTTTATGTCAATAAGAAAATCTATGTAAAAATATTATCAACTGATGGAGCTCTGATCAAGAATTTTGATATCGCTTCACCAGTTAAGAATATACAACCTAACTCTATCCTTTTAATGATATTGGAAAAGAGATTATAAGTACATAATTACCTGAAACAGTGACAGTGATGGCGAGCAACAGAGTGCACGCCGTGCTTCTCCAACTAAGAAAAGAATAAACTTAGGTGAATTATATGTATTAAAGAGTACTTTGGACTATAAAAACCCACATTTCTTTAGGATTTTAGAAGTAAGTTATGATCATAGCATACATCTAAAATCCTTTACCTACTTTTCCCTATTTCCCGAATTTTTTAACCTAACATACTATCATACTAGAATACTACCATATATATCAATTATATACTCTCTACACTATTCCCTGTATTGACTTAAATTCTCCAAGGCTTAACAACTGCTCAAAGAGAGTTGTATTAAATTAAAGAAATATCGCTTCTTATTTAATTTTTAACTGTTAATTTTGTGTAAATTATTGTTTAATTAAGAAAATTAATACTACAATAACTGCTGTTAATGTTTATTCGTGCTTTCAGGGTGATATTCAAAAACGGGAATTGGCGCGAACGTATGTATAAGATTCTATATAATTTCGACAAAATTCAGACAAAGGTCAACAAACCGGCTGTTGTAGATATTTTAAACTTTTAATATTATAATATTGTATTGTGTATACTAGCAATGCTCCGCGTAGTGCGAAGTCCACTTAAGTCGGACTATAGATATATTTTTGATATCATGAAAGTTTCATTTTACTTAGTTTTTAATTACTTCCATTCAGATTATTAGATTCAAACTTACTTTCATAATCTAATCAATATAGAGATTTTACTTGACAACGAATATATTCCTAATAGATACATATTTAAATTCGTAACATTTACGTAGAATGTCCGCTATTTGTAAATTTAAAAATACAGATAATAATTACTTTTTTAGCTAGTCGACTAATTTTTAGCTTGATTATTATAAATTGTTTAAAACAACAATTCAAAATGCAAAAATTTCTTCTATAATATTAGAGAAGAGATTTATTATACATTTGACGTAGTTTTGTTTTGTGGCAGCTAAATAATTTCATGTTTTGGAATTCCGACTCGAAGGCCAACATACAATTTCCCATGGGGAAAACATTCTTTGTAGATAATGATACGTTCTATGGTAATACTGTACAACATTTTTTGTTCTTTCTTCAATAGTTTCCACAGCGCACGCGATGACATTTTTATGGGATATGATGAGATTTTTAATGGATATTTTTTTCACATCTTGGGATATATTATTGCATTTTTGTTAGGGTTCCTATTTTTTTAGATTTAATATAGCCTATGTAAGCCAAGATGCAGCTTTCTAATGGTGTAAGAGTTTTTGATTTTTTTCGGTCCAGTAGTTTTTGTGTGATTACAAACATACATACAAAAACACTTTATAATATTAATATAGACAAAAAAAAAATATTATGTTTTTTTTTTTTTTTTTTTCTCGGTCTTTAATTATTATATTATAACATTATACATAAGTAACCATGGGTATATAGATAATCGAATAATAAATCTGCTGATCATCCCATCGGTTGCCCTGTTAGAGGTGAAGTCAGTTATTACTTAGAGACGCACTTTACACTTATAGTATAAGTAAGCGAGGCTTAACAAATACAGATAATATAGAATATTTATTTTTTATATATAGATAAACATACATACATTTCTCATTGCTTACATATTTAAAAGAATATTTTTATAGGTCAGTCATTTTCGTAAAAGTGCATGGGAATACAGCGTCGAGCGTGGACAGTTCTACTTACACCAATTTGTGATAGGACAACCTGATCTCAACTACAGAAATAAAAAGGTTCAGGAAGAAATGAAGGTAAGTGTTATCTATATAATGGCAATGTAAGAGACAGCTTTCCGCATCATATCAACAAAATGAAGTGTCGACGATTTAAACCTATGATAGGATGTAATATATTTTCTACTAAGTTTTTTTTTTATAGAACAGGGGGCAAACGGGCAGGAGGCTCATCTAATGTTAAGTGATACCGCCGCCCATGGACACTCTCAAGAGGGCTCGCGAGTGCGTTGCCGGCCTTTTAAGAATTAAGTGTCTTTATTTTCTTATTTTTTTACACCCACTTATCAAATGTTAATAACGCATTGAGGCATTTTAGCTGACTCTACCAAGGCGCATCACAAGGCCTAGAATATTGTTACCAACACGTCCTGTCATAGGTATTTACTTAAAAATAATTGCTTAAATCAACATACAAATCTTTCCTCTTTATTATATTAGTTTAGATATTAGATTGACTATACATATAGTAAGATTACCTGCTTTTTTAGGAAAACTAAAATGAAGCGAATTTTCTATGTAATGTTTTTAATTGATTACTGTATGCATTTTTGCATGGCGGGACATCACTTAGGTATTTAATAATTGAATGGTCTTGTTAAGAAAGTTAAGTAATGATTTGATTGATTTCAGGATGTCCTAAGGTTTTTTATTTATTTATTTATTTAGTTATAAAGCCCACAACATCACACACAGTCATAAGTCCACCAACTATTTCACAAAATCCCACATCTAAAATGTGTGACAGTTAATGCAAGCATAAGTTTCTCAGTAATAAAATCAAATAGAAATTAAAAAAAAAAAACACAACTAAAACACACACGACAATGCAAGCACACATTAAAATAAAATAAATTTTTTAACATAAACATAAAATAAAATTTTCAACAACTATGTGCAGAAAAAAAAAGAAAAATCATCAGAAAAACAGCGAAATTAGGTTCTAGAAAGGCACCCCACAATGCTTTCTCTAAAACCGATCAGCCCACTACCGAATATATCCAGCTCTGGATACGCTGTGTTCAATTTGTTGAAATCGCGAAGAATTCGAACGAGAGGTGCCTGAACTCCTAGGTTGGTTTTAGCAGATGGAATTTGGAATATATTGTTAATTTTAAACCTAGGGAATGAGTAAGGGACGACAAATTTGATTTCCTGTAAAAGGTCACTGTTCTGTAAATGGTTGTTGAGCAATTTATACAAGAATGTAACACCGGCTAGAGCTCTCCGATTGTTAAGAGATAACATATTAAATTTTTTAAGTCGCTGATGGTACGGTTGTCTATGTGAAAATCCTCTGCTTATGAAAGCTAGGTGTCGCGTAAAAGATCTTTGTATGCTTTCAACGCGTTGCGAATGTATCGCATATAGTGGATTCCATATAATACTACCAAACTCAACATGACTGCGCACCAGAGCGTTGTACAAAATTGTTTTAGTCGTACAACCAAAACAATCCGCATTCCGTTTAAGAAATCCAAGCATTCGTGCGGATGTGGTGACTACTTTATTGACCTGCGATGTAAACGTTAATTTTTTGTCAATAATAACACCCAAGTCACGAATATCCTGAACCTCCTTCAATGGCGCGCCGTCAAGCTTATACACAGTAACAAGTGGTTTTTTTTCTTGTGTATTTAATATGAAAGCACTTATTTATATTGAGGATCATACCATTTAAAAAGCACCAATGTTGTATACCATTAAGATCACTTTGAACTAGAGCAGCATCACAGACAGTGTTAATAACTTTATAAATTTTTAAATCATCAGCGAAGAGAGACGCTTTACAGTGCTTTATATGATTCTTAACGTCGTTTACAAATAGTAAGAATAGCAACGGTCCCAAATGAGATCCTTGCGGTACACCAGATCGCGCAATATAGGGAGTAGACTCAGCGCCTCCAACAACTACTGACTGAGGCCTGTTACGAAGATAGGACCTAAACCAGTTTAGCAAATTCTCTCCCATTCCATAACCACGAAGCTTCTGAATCAGTAACGCGTGACTGACTTTGTCAAAGGCATTGCTAAAGTCAGTATATATGGCATCAATCTGGCGCCCACGATCTAATTCCTGACATGTTTCAGTAACAAAAGACATGAGGTTTGTTTGAATTAAACGGCCTTTTCTGAAACCATGTTGCTCATCAATGATACAGCCGTCTAAACATTTGGAGATTACGGGATACAGGACAGACTCAAAGAGCTTGGAAAAACAAGATAAAATACAAACAGGACGGTAATTTTTTACGTCGGTGATATCTCCCTTTTTATACACAGGTACAACACGAGACCTTTTCCATACTTCAGGAAAAACACCATCTTTAAGAGATCTATTATAAATAATAGTTAGGGGCAAAGATAACACAAATCTACATCGTTTTACAAAGATAGGAGGAATCGAGTCTGGCCCAGCTCCTTTGCTAATATCAAGACCTTTTATTTTCTTAGATATTTCATCCTCTCTAAAGCTAAGGGACATTAGGCCGTCAACATTGCCAATGTCGTCTGGAGTGGAACTGCCAACAAGTGATTCATCACAAGTATATACAGATGAAAATTGATATGAAAAAAGATTAGCAATATCAGGTGATGACTGGGCTGTAACATTGTCCATTTTCATGCAAGAGGGAAGCGATGAGTGACCACCTTTCCTATTTTTAATAAAACTCCAAAAACATTTAGGATTATTAGGAATACTTGCCTCAATATTTCGCTTATATTTAGTGTAGTAATCATCATAAAGTTTGTGACAACGTTTTCTAATAATGTGATACTCTATTTCGTCTCGAGGATTCTTGTATATTCGATACCTCTTACGTGTTTTTTCTTTTTCAGCAAGTAATTTTATTAAGGAAGAACTGAACCACACCGGATACTTAGATTTCGTGATGGTCGTTTTAGGTACAAATTTGCTTATAGTGGTGTTAAGAATTTTGTAGAACTTAGATACCATATCATTAACATCATCATGAGCGCGTAGGCTATCATTCCAATCAATGGTTTTCAGATCCCCTATTATAGACACATAGTCAGCTTTATAAAAATTTAGTTTAGTGTTACCTCTCGTTCGCAAAAAGGATATTTTAGAATATTCAAAACTTAACAATAAACTAGGATGATTCGCGTATATTTTACTTAACGAGTCGGAGGGGGCTGATACATTAATACTAGACATATTACTTAATACTAAATCTAAGAAACGATCATCGCTATTACCTATACTATTAAATTGCTTTAGGCTATTCATAGACATAAAATCAATCAAGGCAAAGCCAAGTGTATTGTTATAATTACAAGGTGTCATAAAAACTTCATTATTTAACGATCTCCAATCAATGAACCCTAGATTGAAATCACCTAGAATAATGACGTCATCGCTTAAGTTTAAAGCTCTGTCAACGCTGTCTAAAAAATGTGTCAAAGTCCCAATCTTTACAGGAGGAGGTAGGTATACTACACATATCGAAAGTTTCTTTATTATTTTATTAATATTTATATGTAAGGTGACCCATAAGTCCTCCACATCCGATTCCCATGCCTCAACTCTGAAAGAAGAAATTTCTTTGGAGACTCCCAATATGACACCTCCACCATCCGATTTGGTATTGGTAGAACTTGAACAATTTCTACGATAAACAGTGTATCTATTGTCAAATAATTCCATGTTTGAAATACCAGATTTCAGCCAAGTTTCAGTAAGAGCGATGATCCTATAATTAGAAGTTGACAAATATTTGAGAAAGCTTGCCGTTTTAGTTCTCAACCCTTGTACGTTTTGATAATAAATTTCAAGCATTGTAAAAAATCTGTGTGTTACTAGGCTAAAGATACAAAAAGCTTACAATCTAATATACTATACTATACTATGTTAAAAGATTTAAGGTTTCGTTATTCTTAATAAGCAAGGCTTGGCAGTTTTCGTTCTTTCTTGTAAAAACTCGTCCGTTGCGAACCCATACAAATTTATACTGCTTCTCTTTTGCTTTCAAGCGTGTGGCCGCGTAAAGAGCATTGTTAACTGATGTTAGATGTTCAGATACAAAAATAGGTTTCTTAGTTCCTCCAATACCAAGATGATGAGAGTTCAATTTATCTTGTGGATTCTTCCTATTAAATTTGCTCACAGCAGCCAGAACAAAGTCACGTGTACGCGGGCTACATAACTTAGCCACCACGGACCGAGGCCTATCACTGCTATTAGTTATTTTAGCAACCCTTGTTACGTGCTGAATATCAACTTGAGTGAGGGGACAGTCCACAGTCTTGGCTATACGAAGGACAGTTTCAAATAAATTTTCTGACCTATTCTCAGGGATCCCATTAATCAATATATTATTCTCCCGGGCATGTAGTTCAACAGAAGTTAGCCGATTCGTTAGGTCAGCCACATTAGACTTTAACCTGTCATTATCTTTTTTTAAATTCACTATTGCGATGTCCTTCTCCTCAAGAGAAGACTTTATATCCTCATATTGTCGGCTCAGGAAGCAGATTGTGTCCTGGAATCCAGCAACCTTTTCAGTGAGATTATTAAGTTCCGATGTCACCAATCGCTTAATTGTCACAGTGACAATTAAGCGATTGGTGACATCGGTCACCAATCGCATATATACAATAGAATATAATTATGTTATAGTTATATTCTATTTTTCGTTTTAGTTTTTCGCATAACTATACGAATAATATATTAGGTTCAAAGAAGTTTATTTAGTTTTGTCTATTTTAATGCTTATATAGTCATCGGAGACTGCCAAAATTGCTTTAGTTAAATAACTAACGCTTAAATTAAAAAAATCATGTGATGTCCGATAATTTATGTCGCAGTTTCCCTCAAATTGTGATGTAACATAATCTTGTTTTAACGACAGATATAAAAAGTGTGTGATCGCTTCGCATATTATCAAGTGATCATTTTACCAACGGTACCGGTTACCAACGGTATTGTAAAATCGCTTTCAACGTTATTTATGTAACATAAATGTTATCTTTATGTTATTTATGTAAAGTATTTTGTTTTTAGTACCACTAGATTTATAGCTAAGCACTTTTGTTTGCAGCTGAAATTGCGCAACAGTTATTTATCTATTTTCCTCTTACTTGTTTTGAAATCTTCAATTTGAAATTTAGTAACTCTTAATATTATTATATTATGCCTTTGCATTAAAGTTCTTCTAAAAACTATTTTAAAAGAGTAAGTATGGATTTTCTTGCCCATTCTTCTCCATATGACTACCTTTTGGAAGGGGCAACGAGCGTCATTTTTTTACAGTCCAGGGGGAAAACGGGCAGGAGGGTCACCTGATGTTAAGTGATAACACCGCCCATAGACACTCTCAATATCAGAGGGCTCGCAAAAGCGTTGTCAATTTTTTTTTAACTTTCAAAAGTGCCTTTTAAATAGGCCTAATTAAAATAAATGATTTGACTTTGACATCAAACAATGACGAATTCTAGTATTATCGACCTTTGATATGAATAGATCAGGTGTTTATTATCACGTATGTAATCTGTGTTTGATGTTTTATGTCTTTTATCTACACTAATATTATAAAGAGGAAAACTTTGTTTGTTTGTTTGTTTGTTTGATTGTAATGAATAGGCTCATAAACTACTGGACCGATTTTAAAAATTCTTTCACCATTCGAAAGCTACATTATCCACGAGTAATATAGGCTATATTTAATTTTGAACAAAAATAGGGTTCCGTAAGATATTAGGGTTTTTCGGACACAAGGTGTAAAAAATCAACCAAAAAAGTTACTTATTTTGCGTACCCTGCCTAAACTATTAAAGATAGATCCATAAAATGTTCTAAGTAATTGTAGATCTTATAAATATCTACAAAAAAGTCCGCGACACACTATACCTATCTATGTCGAGTGAGGCACAATAACCATAAATGATATAATGACATGGCAAAACGGCGTTTGCCGGATCAGCTAGTAATTAATATTTTTCTGAAACATTCAATATGAGTCTTAGAATTCGAATTTACTATTATTAAAATGCTTACACTTTGAGCTTCTCTAATACGATTAACTATGTAACCTAACCTAACCTAATGTAGCCTAACAATCCGCGCTCACAAACCACTGAAACACGCTATAGAAACTATTCCAGCCGCTAAGTATATTTAGTTTCTCGGGGCCGGCCCAATCAGTGGTTAGTCTGGTTGAGGTCTCCTGGTTAGCTCCCCCCTTTAGATTGGAGGGACAGTACACTAACCTTCCTCCACACCTAACATGTGTTAATGTGGTGATAAACTTAAAGAAGGAAAACCAGCATGCCTTAGACCTAATAATTGACGGCGCGTGTCAGGCCTTCTGTGCCTGACACGCGCCGTCAATTATTCACATATTCTATTCAAAAAGCCGCCTCACATATTCTATTCAAAAAGTGATCAACAGAAATCTGAGGGGTATAACGCCACTGGTTCAAATTCAAATATCATATATTCATATAGGTAACACTTATGAACGTCAAAAATAAATATATATGAAATGCTTCTAATTTTACGTTTACTGCCAGTAGAACTGGCAAAAAACTATCCGCCACTCTTTTTAAACGCCAAGTTTTTTGTTTAGCAAAACGTTTGTAAAGAGCTGCAATTACACCATGTTCCACATGACATCTTTAGTAATTAATAATAATAAACTTAAAACAAATATTTGTCCTCTATCAGCAGGCTTAGTGAAATTGGAGCACGCACTTACATTCTCGTGGGTTCTAGTTCTTACCTCATGTGAAATTTAACCGGAGACTGGTTCGAAGGTGGCGCCGGGTTCCTTGCACCAGCTACCTGAAATAAAAATTAAATGTGTAATGTAATCTAAGCCAATATTTGTTTGTAACGAATGAACTCAAAAACTGGAATTCAAGATATTTTCACTACTTTTTAGAATGTATATGTTTCAATTATAAAAGTCCAGCCGAGAGACGCCGGTAAAGGCCGCAACATTGTATTTATAATTTATGTATCTTTAAGTTGTTTAAATACTTAAGATTAATTACCGATGGTAGTTGGTTTCGATTGAACAAAAAATAGCCCTTGAACTTGGAATATAATATAAAAACCTAAATTTATATTATACTACTGAGTATTAACAATATTAATTAAGACTTTTTTAATGAAGCAACCCTTTTCCTTGTGTCTATCTTGCGTGATTCTTATATATTAATGTTACGCTTAAATTAGTACGCCATTCGTTCTTATATACAGTGGTACGTACATACGAGTTAATACGTATTATTCAATTAATGATTATTTGCGTGAGACTCACTGTAGTTGATATAAATTTAATAACGTATGATATGATACAAATAATATAAGAGTTGACCAATTCATATGATTAATAATGTAAAATTCCTTTTAAGACAAATTTCCGCGCACAATGGTGTGTGGCAGAATATGCGAACTTTTACGTTCGCGATAACGATTGTACCACCTTACACATTTTTATACCATATTCTTGTAATAAATTATTCTTAATTGCGATACATTTTTAATTAATTTTCTGCGATTCCTCAATGACATTATCTTAAAGTGCGCTAGCCTAGTTTCGTATGTTGGCAACTTTTTTTTCGAGATTCCACTGGAGATATGGCCTAGTAATCTTTTTTGTTTCTTTGCTTATTAAAAGTGAATTTATATATACTTATTTTTGTATATTATATGTAAATAAGATGTGGATATTATTATTATTATTATTGCTTCATACAAATTATCGACCCTCTATTCCTATATACTACTAAAATTGTGCAAGAACGTATGCTAAAAGTTGAAATATGCGATCCCATTTAAAACTTTCTATAGTATAAACCTCAATCACCGCATATATCAAAAGCAATAAAATTTAGAAATTTAAAGTGCTTCCGTCTTAACACTTCCTTAGTATCGTTTATAAAAAAAAATACGGTAATAAAATTGTTTCATCTTGATGTAAATTCCATATTAATAAACATATACTTTTATTACAAATATAACTTTTATTTAAAGATTAAACTCTACCGATTTAAGAAGGTATTTTCTCGAGTTGTATGTAAACTTTAGTTATGTTACATATATATATTTTAGTTAATAAATAGAAGCGCAAAATGTAAGCAATCAACTTACAGTTGTAGCCATAAATTGTAATACGTCAGTTTAGTAAGAAATGTGCCTTTTAGTTTGTCATACATTCATAAATTGTAATATAACATTCTCGTTTCTTATGTCCATTATATCGACTATACTTATATATTTTTATTTTTTATTGGACAATTCACACCAATTGACCTAGTACCATGCTAAGCTGGTGAATCTTGTGTTATGGGTACTAGGCAACGGATATAGATACATATTACAGATAGATAGAGATATAAATACATATTTAAACACCCAAGACCTAAGCACAACACCAAATGCTCATCACATCGATGTTTGTCTCAGCCGGGAATCGAACCCGGGACCCATGGATTCGCAGTCAGGGGTACTAACCACTAGACCAATAAGCCGTCAAATTTAAATTAGCCGTTATATTCTTTATAGGTAACATAAGTGTCACTTAGATTTAATAACACTTCAATTAGAAAAGTTAGGTTTATATTAGCGTCGATACCCCACTACCCCTAATTTCATATTAGTTAGCTTATGTTTTAAACGATTCAAGCCAGTTGACACCCAGCTTCAAACAATGAGTTTCATTTATTTGAACATCCCTCCAACAAACCGCCACCGAACATTATTCCCGTTAGAATTTTTTTGTACGGGCTTTCGTAGCGTCATAGATGTCGGACTTGACATTAAAATGCTACTTTATCCCTGAGTAACAAAGATTTAAACTCTTATCGATAATATGTCAGTTAGATAATAAATTTTCCCCTTAAATTAACCTTTCTAATATCGCGGAGATATCTTCAAAGTCAGTTAATTATCATTTCTATTTCTCACTTTGTTAAATCATATAGTATATAAGTTATTATTACTGAATATGCCTGTTTTGTTAACCAACATAAAAAGTTGAAAAAGCTACTTTTAGGTAGGTATATATGCATTTCTTGAGCTCCTAAACAAGACTACTATATAATATACTGCTCAAAACAATTAGCGGAACAAGATTTTTCTCCTTTCTATTGCTTAAACTAAAATTAGATTTAAATTAACTTGTACGCTATTTTTTACCTTGTTAATTTGTTAATTACTACAATTAATAAAAAAATTCAATTCGTATTTTTTTTATTAAAAAAAAATTAAAATGTGCATTGTAGACGAAAAACTAATTGGTGATAAAAAAGGTCCATCAAAGAAATATTCTTATATCGTTTGAATATTCGTCTTTAGTGACTTTCAGTAACGTGTGTGGCCTCCATGAGCCCTAATCACGGCTTGACAACGACGCGGTATGCTTCGTATGATCCTCCAAATATTTTCTTGTGGGATTCGCTCCCATTCTTCAATCAACGCTTCAGTGAGCTGCTGCAGTGTTTGAGGTGCAATCGGACGCTTCCGGATGCGCCTGTCAAGCAAGTCCCAAATGGATTCAATTGGATTTAGGTCAGGGCTCATGGAAGGCCACTCCATTACACGGATTTCCTGCTGTCGTAAGTAATCTGACGTGATGGCTGCAGTATGCGGCCTGGCATTATCTTGCATTAAAAGAAAATCTGGGCCCATACCATATGGTGCGGGCTAAACATGATCTTCGAGCACATTTTCAATGTAAGTTTGAGCACACAAGCGCCCGGGAACAACGACGAGATCTGTGCGCTCGTCCAAACTAACCATACTCCGCCCCAAACCATCACAGAGCCACATCCAAATTTGTCATATTCCTGGACTGCTGCTGCACTGTATCGCTCGCCTGGGCGTCTGTAAACACGGAGACGACCATCGCAACGTGTTAGACGGAATCGTGATTCGTCAGTAAAAAGCACTGGCCTCCAATGTCGAAGTTGCCAATTAGCGTGATTTTGCGCGAACTGTCGGCGAGCTTGTCTATGTTGAATTGTTAGACACACAGCCCGAACTGGTCGGCGTGATCTCAAATTGGCTTCAAACAACCTATTTCTTACCGTCTGGTCGGAAATTTCTACACCAGTAGCCGTCCTTAGTGTATTTTGTAGATCTCTTGCAGTTGTGGTGCGGTTACGTAAAGCACAGTTGACGATGTAGCGATCTTGCAAACGTGTAGTTTTTCTCTTTCGACATTGACCACGCCTTCGTGAGTATTCTCCCGTCTCACGGTATCGCTTCCAAAGTCTGTAGATAACAGAAGGGGCTACTCCTAGATCATTTCCTACATAACGCATAGTTCGACCTTCTTCAAGCAAAGCGATAGCTCGGGAGACATGCAATTCAGTCAGATCTGGCATTATGACCTAAACTCACTCGCTTCAATGAATAACAATACTCAAAAGGCTCACTTCAATTTCTATTAATACTCAAAAGATTGAAAAAAACTACTTAAAATGTGTTTTCTGTGATTAGAAAGTAATGAAAATTCAAAGACGTCACTTTGTTTTTCGTCTACAATGCACATTTTAATTTTTTTTAATAAAAAAAATACAAATTGATTTTTTTATTAATTGTAGTTATTAACAAATTAACAAGGTAAAAAATAGCGTACAAGTTAATTTAAATCTAATTTTAGTTTAAGCAATAGAAAGGAGAAAAATCTTGTTCCGCTAATTGTTTTGAGCAGTATATGTATAACATATTATGGTTTTATTATATTATTCCGTAAAATAAATTAAAAAAAGGGTGTGCATTTAGTTTTTTTATTTGTTTCTAGAAATTGTAAAAACAATTAAATCTTACATCCAGATACATAGGTACATACTCGTAATACCCGTTGACTTGTTTCTGTTGGTGTACTGCATTGTAAAGTCGAAAACAACGAAATCAACACGATTTGTATCAGCTGACTTGGGCACCATAGGATTAAAAGTCTATTAATAGCAGCCTGCCAACCAGAGCAGTGTTGGTCTAGTGGCTTAAGCGTGCGACTCTCATCCCTGAGGTCGTAGGTTCGATCCCCGGACCACCAATGGACTTTTTTTCTATGTGCACATTTAACATTCGCTCGAAATGTGAAGGAAACCGAGATGTCTTAGACCCCAAAAGTCGACGGTGTGTATCAGGCACAGAAGGCTGATCACCTACTTGCCTATTAGATTGAAAAATGATCATGAAACAGATTCAGAAATCTGAGGCCCAGTACTAAAGAGGTTATAGCGCCACTGATTTTTTTTAATAGCAGCCTGCATATCAAAATGTATAATTTAACAAAAGATACGTAATAAAATAAATTTCATGATTATTCCCTTAATAATAAAAAAATTAAAAATAGTCTAGTAGTTACAGATTTTTGTCTATTATTATTATTATTATATATATATATATATATAGGTCATTAGACTCTTGACAACTGATAAAGCAAAAACATTTCGTTAAATTACAATCAGTAGTAATTTTGAAAGCATAATAATAATATATATATATTATTTATTATTTATAAATATATATTTATAAATATATATATATATATATATATATATATATATATATTATTATTATGCTTTCAAAATTACTACTGATTGTAATTTAACGAAATGTTTTTGCTTTATCAGTTGTCAAGAGTCTAATGACCTGTCATGTTCAAAACGCAAGTATAACCAGTTCCATATTGAGTAGTGACTGCATTTGTTTATTAAGAATTACTATTTATAAATACTTTCCAAACATTACCTTAAAGCATTTAAATGATAATTATTCACTTTTGAATGGAAATTAAATACATATATATCAAACTAATTTTGACACTTACTTTTAAAAAAATATTCAATTACTTAATTAGTGGTGGAGATAGCTCTCCAAATCGTAACGTTTCGTTAATCATATTAAAAGAATTGTAGTTATAGTTCATGTTTATACCAGCGATTGATCGATTAGACGGAATTTAGTGAAGATACACACAACAGGCCGCAACGCACTTGCGAACACTGTGGGATTGAGAGTATCCATGGGCGGTATCACTTAACGTCAGGTGAGCTGCCTGCGCGTTTGCCCCGTTCTAAAAATAAATGCCCATATTACTCTCCCATAATTTTTTATTATTTTTTTTTTTTTAAATCTGATCAAAATAGTTTAGTTTTTATAAAGTTTTTAAAATAAACACAATCCACATTACACAGTATTTGTAGTAGGTCGACGGATTGTCTGTTCCGACCACACTTTTGGTACGATTTTACACATATTAACGCCAGTCAAATTGAAAATTTCCTTTAAAGTAATACGGTAAAGAGTAATTAATTAACGTCATAGTCGTAGAATAGTGACGTTTTTGACAAATAGTAAACTTTACAGAGAAGCCATTTCAAAATAATAAAATCTTGTTAGTTTTTGTCATTACTATTTTAATTCATATTCTTTTATTATGAAAATTAGGGTTAAATTATAACATTAAATTACAGTTTTCTAGAAAAATCACATGCTTCTATTAAATCCGTCATTTACCGACTGATTAATTTGAAATTTAAAACACATGGATTTTTTTTATTGTAGCCGTAATATTCAATGTAGTATCCAAATATGATAAAAAGTGGATTTTGGATTTTTTTCAAATCCGACATTGTTCTACGATCATGACTTATTTATAGTTAATCATATCCTTCTCTATATTTGCTCTGGTAATAATTCGTATTTTGTCATGTCCAGTATACACGGACTTTGTACTTTTAAAAATTATGTAATAAAAAAAATTCTACAAAAGGACGTATTTTTCAAACAAAAAGTGTTAAGCTGGCCATAGACGGACCGCATGTTGCAGTCAAAACCGACCGCATAATGCAGTCGGCTACGACTGCTTGGAGCAGTTGTGTCCGACCACAAAATAATACTGATGCGAGTTCATTTACAAGATGGAATTCGATGAAGAAACACTGCTACTTGTACTACTATTACGCAAGCGTAGGCGTAGAAGACACCGTAGTATGTGGGTGCGTCCAATACTACAATCAAGAGAACAGCATTGAATATTTCATACTTTGTATAACCAGCTGAGAGGAGACACTAAAAAGTTTTTCAACTACTTTAGAATGTCCGTGGTTTCATCTGATGAATTAGTTAGTATTTTATTTTATTTGAGG